GCTAATGGCGACTGACTTCGGTGTTCATTTTGGTTTGTTGCAAAAAACAAAAGAAGAAGAAGAAGAAGAAGAAGAAGAAGAAGAAGAAGAAGAAGAAGAAGAACATAATTCCAATATGTTGGCAAAGCTAACTAAAAGCTTTGAAGTAACATTGTCAAAACTCTTACTTTGCTAAAATTTTGGCTTGCTAGGGAGTATTTTTAAATGGATGCAATCAAACAAGCCCATATATAAGAACGCATGATGTTGTGGTTATTATCTACTACTCTACTATATACTACTTAAAAAATAAGAGGTGCTTCCATCGTCCGTCAAAAAAACCGGGTGAAAAAAAAACCGGGCAGAAAAAACCAAGTTTGTCCGATCATAAAAACCGGACGAAAAAAAAGTCCGATCCAAAAAAAAGTGAAAAAAAAACCGGGCGAAAAAAACACCTGTCCCTGGCAAAAAAACACCCGATCCCTTAAAAGGGAAAAAAAAGTCCGAGAGACAAACCGTTTAATGAATAAAAAAAGCGAAAAAAAAGAGTCCGATTCCCTGGAGAAAAAAAATCTGATTTCCCTGGAAGAGATCCGATCTGTATTGGATTGGAGAAAAGAAAAAAAACACTTCTCTAGGTGCTTCTGTCGTCCGTCAAAAAACGGGAGAAAAAAACCGAGCGAAAAAAAAAAGAAAAGTCCGATAAAAAAACCTAGTGAAAAAAAACCGGGCGGAAAAAAAACAAATATGTCCGACAAAAAAAAAGGAAAAAAAAGGAAAAAATACCGAAACGAATCCGACTACATCGACGCGGTAAAAAGAGTTTAAAAAAATAAAAAGAAAACTATCCTATTCCAAAGAAAAATGAATTATATGTATCGTGGAGCAAAAAAAAAAAGAAAAGTCCGATAAAAAAACCTGGGCGGAAAAAAACCGGGTGGAAAAAAAACAAATCTGTCCGACAAAAAAGAAAGCAAAAAAAGGAAAAAAATCGAAACGAATCCGACTACATCGACGCGGTAAAAAGAGTTTAAAAAAATAAAAAGAAAACTGTCCTATTCCAAAGAAAAAGGAATTATATATATCGTGGTAAAAAAATCGACCGGGCGAAAAAAGAAAAAAATAGTCCGATCCGAAAAAAACAGGAGAAAAAAAAATGGGCGAAAAAAAAAATTGTCCGATAAAAGAAAAGGAAAAAGCTGAAAAGAATCTGACTCCATCGACGCGGTAAAAAAAGGCGAAAAAAAACTTTCCGATAAAGAAAAAGGAATTATATGTGACGCGGTAAAAAAAATAAAAAAACCAGGCGAAAAAAAAGATAAAAGTCCGATAAAAAAACGGGGCGAAAAAAAAACAAATCTGTCCTATCCAAAAAAAGCCAAAAAGGGGAAAAATCAAAACGAATCCGACTCCGTCGACGTGGTGAAAACAGGGCGAAAAAATTCCAAAGTAAAGGGAGAAAAAAAATCAAAACGAATCTGACTCCGTCGACGCGGTAAAAAAAGGGCGAAAAAAATCCAAAGTAAAAGGAATTATATGTGACGCGGTAAAAAAAATCGATCGGGCGAAATAAACCGGGCAAAAAAAAATCTGTCCGATCCAAAAAAAGGGAAAAAATCAAAACGATTCCGACTCCGTTGACGCGATAAAAAAGGGCGAAAAAATTGTCTGTTTCTAAAGAAAAAGGAATTATACGCGATGCGGTAAAAAAAATCGAATCCTATTATATCTAGAAAGGTTTGACACTATGTGAAAGTGGTGAAAAAAACCCTTCGTAAAAGAAATGCACGAGAAAAAAAATTAAAAGGACGGAAAAAAGCGCGGAGGAAAAAAGTCAAATTTATATTCGTCGTTTTTAGTCCATTTATATATCTTCTTTATCTCTAATCTAATCTAATCTAACTATAAAAAGAGAAGTTTCTACAGTATATTAAAAAAGGAAAAAATGCGCGAGAAAATAAAAACGGTTTAAAAAAACACGTGAGGGAAAAATGTCAGAAAAAAGCACAAAAGAAAACGCGCTAGAAAATAAAGTTTCGTAGTTCTAATTTTCTGATTGTTATCGACGTGGTTATGCATGAAAAACGTATATTATCATTACGTTTTTTCACCCGTTGCAACGCACGGGCATATTTGCTAGTATAACTCCAAAGATGACTATAATACGTTAATTAAAGGGGAGGCATTATACCTGGTTTATTACGCTTGAGGGAGGTGATCCAATCAGGAGCAAGAGCTAAGGGGGTCAAATAGACTTATTCCTTATTGGACTAACCTTATGCACTGACAGCCCAGAAAAATTGGAATATGTATGGGCTCCTGCCTTCCCTTCCCAATGGGCCAATGAGCCATCTTTTCATCCACTAGGCCATATATATTGCTTTCCTCCACAAGATGAAAGGAGAAAGTTCATTTTGACTCCCTTAACTAGTGACCGAATCTAATTCGTACCCCTCAACCACAATACCGGATATCTCGAACCCCCAACTATTAAAATCAGTGTAATTTGACTCCCTCGGTGGTTTTGGAGGGCGGTTTCGCTGACATGGCGCCTACGTGGCGGTATTGACCTGTTCTTCGTTCCACATGGTGCTAACGCGGCGCGTAGGTGGCATTAGAATTAAAATTTATGTGTGGGGCCTATTTGTCATTCACAAAAATATGTGTGGGACCCACTAACATGTGGGCCCCACATCTCATGCTCTCTGATCTTCCTCCTCCCTCTCCTCGTCGCTCCCTTCTCTCTCTTTCCTCTCACTCTCTCTCTTTCCCGCGGTGGGAGGCGAGGGCTAGAGACGACGGTGAGCGGCGGAGACGACGGAAGGCGCGACGGAGATGCGGAAATGGCAGCGGCTCGATTCCCCAGCTGTCGCCGCTCCCGCCCCAGATGAGCTCAATGTGTGGCACCCGCGGTGGTCGGGCCGAACGACACGGCTGTGTTCGCGGCGTCAGATGGATGGATGGGGTCATGGCGGTAGCCGGCGACGAGCGGCACAGCTTGGCGGCGGAGCTGTGCGACTAAACGTCATCGTCGACGACCGAATTGACGTAGAGGGTGGTCGCCATCGAGGATGCCATGGCGGGAACAAGGAGCTGACTCCTTGAGGAAAAGAGGAGTCGGCTGGCGTTGTTCCCACTTTGCCGTCACCGCCCTCCCAACCTCTTGTCGCCGTCACAACCTTCCCGGCTTCGTGTAGCCGCCTTCGTTGGAGAAGACGAAGAAGCATCGAGTCGGAGAAGCAAAACGGCGGCAACAGCAGTGGTAGAACGTCGTTTGGAAGAGCGGCAGCCACCGCCTTCGTCCTTCTGTGCCTTCCGCTCCCTCGCTGCCTCTGATAGCCTAGCCGCCCCGACCACAAAAGAGATGGGGGAGGTCACTCCTCGTCACTGCCTTTCGGTGCTCCCACCCTGAGCCCGCCCTGGACACAGCGTGCGAGGGCCGCGCGGACCTCATCCGCCACTGCCGCCCTCCCCGAGTCCTGGCCTCTCTGCCGTGGAAGAGGAAGAGGGAAAAGAAGGAGAGGGAGGGGAGAAATGGGAAGAAACGGAGGGGATGGATTGCAGCGGCAAGTCACAGCTCGAGCTCCGCAATGGTGATCGGCAGAGACCGGATTTGGGGGGTTTCGGCAGTGGTGGTGATTGGGCGCCAGCGAGGTGTGGATTGGGATTTCTGGGAGGAGAGAAGCTCGACTGTGGTGGTGGCTTGGTTGATCGGGGACTGAAAGAGGTCTAATCGAAGTCGCGAGCTCGCAAAGGGGACCCGACCCTCGCTCGCCCACCCTCCCGCCCGCCACCACCACTGCCTGCCGACGGCCCCTGTCCCACGCTCGCCGATGGGGAAGAGAAAGAGAGGGGGGAGGAAGAAGGAAGAAGAGAGAGCATGAGATGTGGGGCCACATGTCTATGGGTCCCACACATATTTTTTTAATGACAAATGGGCCCCCAAACATATTTTTTAATTCTAATGCCACCTAATCGACACGTCAGCGCCGAATGGGGACGAAGACCAGGTCAATATTGCCACGTAGACACCACGTCAGCAAAACCGCCCTCTAAAACCGCCAAGGGAGTTAAATTGCACCGGTTTTAATAGTTGGGGGGTCGAGATATCCGTAATTGTGGTTCAGGGATATGAATCAGATTCGATCACTAGTTAAGGGAATCAAAGTGAACTTATTCCCAAGATGAAATCCCTAGCGAGGAACATCTCACTCTTTCTAGGAAAAGCAATTTCCCATTGATTTCATCAAACATCTCTCTATATTCCAAAGATGACCGATCATTCCTTTTCATCCTATTCCCAATAAAAACATATATATTCTCCCATGGTTTCTTCCTCCAACAACTCATAATCGTTGCTACTCATCAAATATCAAATTACATTATGAATCCACAAAACCAAATTGTTTGTTAATCCTTAATATGACCTTGTCTCTTCCCTGGCTGCCAAAAATAAGAGGATGTTTGGTTTGATGCCTAATATGGCCACGTCTCATGTTATATGTAAATGTATTTCCGTGTCTGCATGATTGAATTCCATGATCGTGCTTACTCATACTTTTTAGGCAATAATTTGATTTAGATTATTGAACAAATTATTGTTATAGATTATTTACAAATTAAATATTTTAAGAAATAAACAGTGATCTTGATGATGTTGCAGAAATTTTTTTTTAAAAAAAGAAAATATTTTTCTCAAGGCGTGGAGCTAACGTATTCATATGCCAATTAAATTTGCGTCAAGCTTTTTGTTATTACTCGTACTTTTGCTATTGTAGTTGGATTGACAAATTTTAACCATGAATCAAATTAAACAACCCAAAGAGAGATCTTGTCCTGTGTGCCGTGGGGACAACATAAAAGAGAGAAAGTAATAAGGTCAATAGTTTTCCAAAATTATTAATCTCCCTACAATAGAAACTCAAAGTCCCATCTTACATATTTTGGACCATCCAATTCAATCTGAGATTTGTACACCATGACATTTTCTTCACATTCCGGTGAGCTCTTTGATCTTAGGAGGCCCAGTCCAGTTAAGATATAGGGTTAAGGTTGAGGCGGGGTAGAAGAAAGAGGAGAGAGTTCCTCAAGTTTTAGAAGGATGGTTGTAAAATACAAGAACTTGATAGTAATTTATGGGCGGTGGAACGACCAATGTTGATAGCTCAGAGCACAACGAGCTAGGAGGCAGTGGTGTCTTTGATGGTGAGGAGTCGTCAAAGACAACGGGATGGGGACACCTCACCATCATCAGCTTGAGAAATAGGATAGGGAGGGAGGGTGAGGTCTGATGAACCCCGCTGGTACTGTTGGCGTATTCTATAATTGGTGAGGCATATAACAATATTTGTATGTTAGTTGTTGGGGAGGAGGGGTATCGGGCGGAGAGGTGGCGGCGTTCGGAGTGAGGAGCGAGAAAATGAGTGGTTAGGGTTGGGCACTTCACGAATCTCAAAGTGATCCAACGGTCAAGAACCCCGCAAAATATTTAGGTTTTTTTTTTCAAACAGGTACTCAAAGTTATTTTAGGGAGGAAGTGTAAGGACAAATATAAACTGGCCATTGACAGAAAAATAATTAAAAAAGAAGAAGAAGAAAGAGGAAGAAAAGGGGGAGGGGGGAAGAGAGAGAAGCAGGGGGCGGGGCGGACATGGATCCCCGGCGGCGGGCGGATTTGTCCGTGGGGTGGGCGGATCTCCCGCCGGAGCTCCTGGAAGGAATCATGAAGCTGATGAGCCCCCTGGAGCGTGTCACCGTCCGCCTCGTCTGCTCCTCCTGGCGCACCTGCGCCCGTGCCTCCTTCCCCTCCGACCTCGCCTTCGAGGCCCCGCGCCTCCTCCTCCGCCGCCCTGGGCCCCCCCGGGGACCTCTCGCCTTCTTCAGCCTCCGCCGCGCCGAGATCCTCCCCTTCGCCCTCCCCGCCCGCCTCAGCGCCGCCCGCTGCTGCGGCCACATGGGCGGTTGGCTCGCCATGGCCTTGGACGACGACCGCGAGATCGCCCTGTGCAGCGTCACGTCCGGCGAATCCGTGGGCATCCCTCGGCCCCCCGTGTTCCCGGTGGCGAAGGTGGTGCTGTCGGCGCCGCCCACCACGCGGGGATGGGTGGTGGCGGTGCTGGGGCGGTCGGGCACGATCGCGCTGCTGCAGCCGGACGCGGAGGGGGAGGGCGGTCGTTGGATGGCGATGGAGGACGGGGCGAAGCACGGAGGGTTCGAGGACATGGCGATCTGGCGCGGGCGGCTGTGCGCGCTGGGCGGGGACGGCGCGGTGGTGGCGTACCGGGTGAGCCTGGGGGCGCGGGTGGCGGCGGCGCGGGTGCTGCGGGCGGCGCAGCATCCGGTGGGGTACGCGGCGGGGGCGGGGGGGCAGCAGCGGGTGCGGGGGCGGGTGTGTATGTACCTGGTGGTGGACATGTCGGGGTCGCTGGTGGTGGTGCAGAGGGAGTACAGCGTGCGGCGGGACGCGGTGGAGGTGGAGGTGGAGGTGTCCCGGTTCGCGGCGGAGGAGCGCAAGTGGGAGGCGGTGGAGGAGCTGGCGGCGGGGGAGGCGCTGTTCGTGGGGTCGGTGGTGTCGGTGGCGGCGCGGGCCACGGAGGGGTCCGGGATCAGGGGGAACTGCGTGTACATGGCGCGGAGGGAGGTGGAGTTGATCGCGCCGCACGCCATCGGCGTCTACTCCCTGGCCGACGGGGAGGCGGATGGGTTGGCCATCTCCGGCGGCCACTCGCTCGCCGCGGAGCCTGTCTGGATCGCCCCCTCGCTCGCCTGATCCAGATTACTCCAGCTGCAACAGCAATTTATCAATCATGAATCAGGAATCGATGAGATCGTGTTCGATCGTGTGTTCGTGCCGCCTCGCTTGCAAACCCAACAATAATTACTACTCCACTAGCTAGTAGTACTACTTGAGTTCACAACCGTGCTAGGCTTTGCTGTGAACAAGTGTGTTGATCTGATGGATGCAGCAATTTGCTGCTGTTGTCGTCAGTCTAAATTTGTACTAGTAGCTGTTTGCAATGCAATAGAGAGTGTATCGATGGGACTATCTAATTTTGCTTATAGCTGCTGCTGATGCTTCATATTTCTTATTGTTGTTGGTTCGATTTATGTTGTCTTCTTCCTCTTCTGTTCTCCGATTGCTTCTGCTCTCATCTTCTTCCTTGCATTCCATGGCAAAGGAAACGAGGCACAGCTCAGCTACTGCCACCGTGGAAAAAGGAGCGAGAAAAAGTGAGAGCGCGATATGTTGATGTTTGGGGCCTAATGGGCTTTGTGTTTGATATGGGGCCGATGAAGTTTTTTTTTTCTGGGCCGTAACGGTGGCCCATGGACATTCCTCTAGCAGCCTAGCCGCAGCGGGCGAGGGTTGGTTGGTGGAGGTGGATGGGAAACCCAAGAAAATACGAGGACGACGGCGGCGGCGACGATTCCAACGAGAGGAGAAGCGCAAGGAGGATAGGCGGCGGCGGCGACTGGGCGAAAGTGATCAGAGCTCGCGAGGATGAAGGCGACGGTGAAGGGCAGGTACGAGGGCGACAAGGCCACGGCCGCCGCCACCCTCGCCTTCACCCCCTCCGCCGCCGACCTCCGCTTCAAGGCCTCCGCCACCGATGCCGCCTTCGCCCGCGGGCCCTCCCTCGAGGGCCTCATCCTCACCCTCGAGAAGCCCGGCTCCTTCCTCCTCGACCTCAAGCCCCACTCCAAGGTACGGTTCTACTACTATTTCTTCTTCTTCTTCCTCTCGCCGCGCGCTATCAATCAATCAATCGATCCCCATTTCCTCCTCCTCCTCTTCCTGCAGGATGTGCGCTTCCAATTCATGAACTCCGCGCTGCTGCTCGACCGCCGCGTCAGCCTCACCTACACGCACTCCACCACCCTCTCCCCGGGCCCCGCCAAGCTGCCCGCCCGCACCGCCCTCGACGGCTCCCTCACCTTCGATCCGGCCAACAAGCTCAGCCTCTCCCACACGCTCGGCTCCTCCGGATGCCGCGTCAAGTACTCCTACGCGCACGGCCAAGACCGCCTCACCACCATCGAGCCCTGCTTCGACACCGCTAACAACGCCTGGGACTTCGCCGTCACCCGCAAGTTTCAAGGAGGGGATGCCATCAAGGCCACCTACCAAGCCTCCACCAAGCTCCTCGCCCTCGACTGGACCAGGGACTCCAAGATCGGTGCCTCCTTCAAGGTCACCTCCCTTTTATCCTTACTTCCCTTGCCTATCCATGCCATCTTCAATTATCTCTGTTTCGATTGCCAATGTTCAATTTCAATACCTTAGTTTTGAATCAGAATTACAAAAATTGAAAGGATCGCTGCTAGGTATGGAACTGAACATCTTGTTGTCAGTCTAGGACTAATCCAAATCTGCGCTAAGTACAGGCTTATTCCCATTTTACTACTGTAACCATTTTGCTCCCCACTCGATGATGTGCAACTGCACAAGTACGAACATCATCAACTAGTGAAGTGGCTGTGCGTATCTATCCATGGACCATGGGTGGTGCGAAATTGTTGGGGACTGGGGACTTGGGGAATGCAGAAAGATAGTTTGAATACATCCTCCTCTATCATTGCTAGAAATGTATGCATCTCATGCTCACTTCCCTTTGGAAGCCAAATCTAGTTTTCTTTTTTGGGGCTATTGCATTCTTACCCTCATTTTGAAGTCCAATTGTGATTTTGCCCTCACTTTTAGGGTTTGCGTTTTTGCCCCTGTTTTATTGAAACGAAGCAAAGCTTTACCCCTAGTTTGGATGATCAATTTAACGGTGTTAAGTTGAGTGTAAAACTACATTTTTGCCCTTGCTTCCTATTGTATATTTCCCTCTACCTTTGGACAACACTTGTGAAGTTACCCCTAGTTTGTGTATGAAACTTGTAACTGTTTTGAACTGACATTTCATGAAATGATTCAAATCTGAACTGATTTTTACAAACTTTTACCGAAATCAAACAAAATTTTGCACACCAGTTTCATCACTAACAGGATCACAACATTTATATTACAAACAAATCTGGGAGCAGCACGCCTCAACCATTATCACGCTGTTTAATTCATAGCAAAACTGTGCAAACATCAAGCATGCATGAACTCATGAAGGAACAATCGACAATGGGAGTTGCACGCGAAGTGTTAAACTGCAGATAGAGTAATGATACAGCATCCAGTGTGTCAACATAGCGGCCATCTAAACTCAATATCGTTGCTATCTATAGCACTGAATACAGAATTACTGAATTACCTATAGCACTGAATATCAGTGTGCCAACATGGCTGATAGCATATCAGAATTACCTATAGCACTGAAAACAGCCCGTCAGCCCGTGCTTGCAACTTCAACTTCTTTGTGTGTGAAATCACTCCATCATGGCCATCTAAACTCAATATCATTGCTACCTGGAAAACTAGACAACCACCATCGCCTGTTGCTTGCCAGCACGCTGAGGAGCCGCCGCCTGGTGCTCGCGTTGAGGGGTAGTCGCCGCCGCCGTCGCCTGCTGCTCGCGTCGTTGTGTGAGGAGCCGCCGTCTCCGCCTGCTGCTCGCCTCACCACGCCAAGAGCCACCGCCACCGCCTGGTGCTTGCATCACTGCGTCGAGGAGCCATCCTCTCCGCCTACTGCTCGCCTCGCCACGCCGAGGAGCCACCGCCGCCTGCTGCTGCTCGCGTCACCGCATCGAGGAGCCTTCGTCTCCGTCGCGCGCCAAGCCGGCTCGCCGGAGCTGCCATCGGTGCCACCGCCACGTGATCTATCTACGATTTGGGGATGGGAGCAGTGGGGGTGAGGAGAACATGTAATGTTATGATACTATTACTAGGGGCAGATTGGTAATCTAATATTTTCTTAATTAATTTTTCTTTTTCATTTCTATTTTTTAATCCAATATTGTGGGACCCACCTAACTGCCATCCATAGTTGGGTCAAACGGTGATTTCGTTTTGAAGAAACAGGGGTAAATATGCAAACCCTAAAAAGTGAGGGTAAAATCACAATTAGGGTTGAAAGTTGGGGCATGATCACGATTATTTCTTTTTAAAACCTTTCTGTACTCATCCAAACAAATCGTGATTCTTTTCGTGTGAGGAACTTGAGAGGAAAATGTTAGTGTATAAAAATATAACTTTTAGTGAAGAAATTCATTGGAAAGATGTTTCAGTATGTTTGTATATGTTTTCTTTTCTTTCCATCGTGACTCTTTTCTTATATTTCAGTATGCTACTTCACTATATGTTTCACACAGTACTTTCTATGGTTTTGCAATGGCTGTCTGATTTATCTTGGTGGTTCTGAAGGATTTGCTATGATCAGTTTATGAAAACCTTCTTTTGTTGCATAGAGAACAAGTGCCTGTCTGTTTATTAAGCTGCCAATGTTGTTCTTTAGAGTTCCTTGTGAGCAATAGTTCTCAAATATCATAGGGTCACTTTAGGATGGATAATTCTAGTAGGATCTAGATTGGAAGGATGGGGATAGAGCCTGAAGAAACATGAGGAAGCAAAATGGGTGAGTTGACTTGAAAGAACATTGAGTTGTTGATCTCACAGGGATGTATGTGGAAGATTTTTGGCCATAAAACTGTGGTAGCTCTCTATACTATGTGCTTATTTATGCATCAAGTGAATAGAGATCTAAATATCTAGACCGTCTGTTTTCACTTTATACAACGTATATTATTCTAACATCTCCTAGGTCCTCCAATATAAATGTGTTGTCAAGATGGCCTTTTGGCTTTTCATAGGCGAATATAACTTTAAAATGGTTAGCTTTATAGTCTTGTCAGTTCCATTGCAGAAAAGTGACTTAGATATTACATACCATTTTTTATTGAAAGGTCATTTTGTATTCACATTTGTCAGTTCTGGTCCAAGTTTTAGACCCTCATATTAAACCCTGGGAAAGAGCTGAAGTAGATTGGTTCGTAAGGGCATCTACAATTCTCCAGCTCAGCTGACTCATGGCCTCAGCCACATTGGACTCCAGCTGAGGTGGAAGAGAGTTAATGCACCCAACAAAGCTTTATTCTTTGAGCCGTTGTTACATGCAGAGTCGACTCTTCACGCGAATTAGAGGGAGATTGAACTGTATTGTATAGCCAATAAACGGTGATTAGGGATGGATCCCACTAAATATACTACTAAATATTGGAGAGTTTAACAGATAAATGCATTGTATGTGTTAGCTCATGCATCAACAACCCTTAATGATATGGATGGGTTTTGGGCCGGCTTAAGAGTCAGCCTTCATGACATGCCTTAACTGATACTGGTACAGAAGGGTGCTGACTTTATTCTAACTTATCTAAAGAAGACTATCTTCCTATATCTCAGTCTCACACAGAGAGACCATGATATGTGCCACAATGCAATATCGTAATTCTGTGACCATATTGTGCTATTGATGGCAAAGAACAAATATTTGGCTAGTTATATTGATTTGTTGCCTGCTTGTTTGAGTTCATTTAACAAAGAATGTCAATAGTACTTTTTGTTCAAAAAGGTACCCATGCAACCCTGCTTAAATCCGCAACAAGGCACTGGTGTGCTGTCTGACTAGCTCCTTCCGAACATTGAAAGCAACTTGCTATGCTATTTTCACTATAGATGTTTGTAGAGGTTGTACTCTTATAGCTACCGACCATGTTTTTCATCTTGACCATGTTATGCTTCTCTCTTCAGGTCGCAGCGTCATTTGATCTGTCTGACCAAAGCAAAGCGCCAAAGCTAATAGCGGAGAGCACGTGGAATTACGAGATCTGATTGCCTCTTCTAGGAGGCAGGCAACTCCTGCTTAAGAAGCACCCTTGTCATACTGGTTGTCTTGTACTTGGGAACTATTCTTTCTGGGTGCAACAATTTCAATACCTACTGCCCTTTGTTCATTTTTGGCTGCCCTATGATTGGAGTTGTCATGGCGATGCTACGGCATTGACAATGAACACCGATTATCTTTTACTATATTCTCTAATGCACATGATATGATTGAACAAAATGCCTTTGGTGGCGAGAATTCGAGCATTGGTGTTTGCTCCTTGTTCAGATATACGGTTGATGTTCTTTCCTTCCTTCTGGGAGCTTGTAAAACGTTGAATTAGCTTGCCACATTTTTGTTACATTTGTTTGGACAAGACAAGGTGGGCAGAAGGCAAAAGAAGGAAGAAGCTAAAGAGTGGTTGTTGATGATGTTCTATACTTCTTCCTTATCGTACTTATATTATTAAAGAGTGGTTGAAAAGGAACTATCACTTTTGTTATATTTGTGTGGACAAAACAAGGTGGGCATAAGGTAGAAGCATCAGCTAGCTTTGGTGGGTGGTACATATGCCGTGTAGTTACCGTGGATTGGATGACTGAATATCTATCAGTATATGAGAAAAGGAGAGACCTGTAAACTTATACATACATTAATGAAAAAAGATAGAAATTTTGACCACTAAATCATGGTGGACCTAAATTATAAGGGGAAATATATGAGAAAATATATAGTGCAAACCTCATAATGTTGTGTAAACCTAAAAATTATCGTTGAATTTGAAAACGATATTTGTCCATATCACCCTGAGTAAAACTTTTCCTCTCAGTATGTTTATTTTTAGATCCAAGAGTAATTTTCAGGTTTGCACTATATATTTTACTAGATTATAATGGTATAAATCAATTGATATGATTGTAAAATTGTGTATATGAAATTGAGCACTGGTTAGAAATCCTTTGGTCGCCCGTATCCTCCACAGTCCCACTTGACCGTCAGAATTGAACCTGGTCCTGGGGCATGCAAGAGTTGAAACTTGAAAGATCAAAGCTATTGCATCAGCAGGTGACTATGTGATTCTTCACCACTTGTATTACAAAAAAATGGCATCCATTTCATTCTGGCGGTGAATATGAAATTGGCAATAACATGACCATAAAGCGAAGACCATCAAGCCAAACTGTCCATAAAAGTTTGTTTCTCTACACCCTGGAACCCACTAAAACAGCGCCTGGTTGGATAACTATAAATCTGATGAAAATTCACAAAATCCAGAAGAATTGCAGGGCTGTGCCGGCCGGTATCTCAATTTGGGACTCATCGGGTTCTTGAGAAAATTATTAAGGTACTGACTGACTGACTCATGGAGCTAGCTGCTGCTACACTAATAAGGGCATGTTTGAGGGAGCTTTAGATTCTAAGAAACAGCTGTTTGGTAGCCAGCTTCTGAGAATCTGGAAAAGCTCTGAAACCCAGCTTCTCCAGCTTCTGGCTCCTTAGTTCATTTTTCAGAATCTGTAACTACAGATTCTCAGAAGCTGTGGACTGTTTGGGGGAGCTTCTAGCAAGCTGCAGCTAGGAGAACTCCCCCAAACAAGACCTAAAACTAATCGAATACTACTACCCACTTAGAAAAAGAAAAAAAAACTAATACTACTACAGGAGTACATTTGTGCCACAGGATCCTCAGGAGAATATATAGCCACTAGTTATGGTCTTTCGAAAGGCATCATCGTTACTATCTCTCGTCAGCTTCCAACTAGAGTAACTAAAGTAACTGTATGTATATTTGCATCTTGTGTGACTGCATGTATTTGTTCGGCTATTCTCTTGATGACACATGAACATGCCAGGAAAGTTTCTTAGCCTTTCAGCCGCTCTGTATTTCATCACTCATACCAGTGGCACTCCTAACTCCTCATGTCAAATCGGAGTAAAAACTGAGGCAGGAGGGAAAAAAGACAAATCGAATCACAAGGATTTCATCATCGATCAGTGCCAGATAATAGTACCGCATGAGATTCTTTCAAAAATCTCGTTGAAACTGCAATGGACGTTGTTGTTACTCAATCTCGTACAAACTTATTTGTCTCCGTTAACCTCTACACTCTAAAAGAATACTCGACCAGAAAAAACATGGCTTATCCTAAAGGCATTTTGGTCCACAAACTAACTCTGTCGGTCCGTTGTGGTGGTTGATATATATGAATTTTTCTCTCTAATTTATAGATATTATCTGAAACCGGTCAAATAAAAGATGTACGAACGGTGTAAAATTAAGGGTTGGTGGAGATAGCATATCATCTTGCGAATCAAGCATACACACAAACACTTCATTTGATAGGCTCAATCTCACAATCACTATATGCATATATAATATCATAAAGGAAGAGGAATCTACATATCACTAGCTGCAAATTCTGGCGAATGCATGCTTCACTTATATGTTCAAATGAATTAAGCTAGCTAGCTAACGACGGATTAATTCATCTTTATCGATCGAATGTTCGTTTATGCCCATCTTTGAGCCAAAAGCTGGAGATAGTTGCTGTTTAATATCGTTCCTTTAGATATACCTTACAAATATAGATATATTGTTAGGCATAAAGGAAGGTTTGACGAAGTTTAGCCACAATATATATGTATTTTGCTCAGATGAAATGGATCCTGGCCGGCCGTGTACATACGTCATAGGCCATGCCAAATTCGTACGTGATTTGCTAATAATCTTTTTTTTTCAGTATACTAAATACTAAATTTCTTAAAGGTGCTAGATTTGCCGGCTTCCCAGCGATTTGGACAGACGGCAGCCAATACGGTGTGCACACGTTGATTTTTAATAGGTGATCTGGTGGTTAGGCAGGTTAGTGGTTGTATGGCCCAAATGCCTCTCTAGCCCAACACGGCCTGTTCCTGCCCATCGCCAGTCCGGTTTGCCGGCCTTGTGCGCTCGTCGTTTCCCTGTGCGCTCATCTGTCGGTGGGTCTGCCATTCAGCTCGCGACGCGTGTGCTTCCTGTATGCTGGGCCCGGTTAGCATTGGCCGAGCCGCTATCTTCCTCAGCTCCTCCGCTTTGGTCGTGAATCGGTGCCACCGCGTGTCGGCCATCGGCGAGGCTCTAGCGCTCAGAGTCGCTGGGCCGCTCCTCTCTCTATCCGCCCCTGTCTCGACTCTCGAGCTATGATGGTGGACTGCTATGGCGTACAGCGGTGACGGGATTGGCTGCTGCTCACTGCTCCACTACGCGGAGAGCCCCATGACCATGGCCAGGCGATGGTTTGTCCATTTCCCTCCCTTTCTTCTACAGAGAGCGCTAGTTCTATTCTTTCTTGCTCTTCCTCAGCTCATCTTTTTTTCTCCGCACGGTATCGTCGTTGATCGTATCCTCCCTTGTGCTATGTTGTTTTCCTCCTACGCCTTGCTCTAGATTGCGCCGTTGTGGTTCGAGGGTTCTTTCGATCATGCGTGTGCCCACTGATTTTTGGGTTTTCTGCTTTCTAGGCTGCACTGCTGGATTGGGGATTCTCTGTTGGCGTTTTCACTTGGGGGAGGGAGTTGCCTCCCTCGTCTACTGCTCGCAAAGGTATTTTGTGCTCTCTCGTGCACTGGTTACCACCTTTTATTCGGTGTGTATGCGATGAGGTGATTTTATCGGCGAGATATCTGCTTTGTTGATTTCTGATCCTTATTTTGCCCCCTTCAATTAACAGGAAACAGTTCCTTCACATATTTATGTTAATTCGCTGATTCCTTCATATATTTGTGTTAATTCGTTTTTTTTCATCCTGCTAAGTTACATTCTTTCATAGGTTGCCTCTGTTTCCTTTCGTTTCTGATCTCTATAGATCAGTTTGTTCAGTCGCTGGGATGCCTGTTCGGTTGATTCCATATATGTGGGGTTTCTTTTTTTCCCCTTTAGATTCGACAATAGAGAGATCATGCGAAGTGCTTCTTTGCATCCCACCTCTGTATGACAAATTCTGAATTCATTAGCACATATACATAGCACCGAGAATAAATTTGAAAGGTGGCTAGGAGAAAAGAAAATTAATCCCCAAGGAAAATGGTGTGGTAAAGCATGCCAAGAAGTTAGCTTTGTGCACTAGGAATCACAAGAGATGTTCTTGCACTCGTGAAGAAGGAGTGTGATAGCCCCCCTCCTTTGTTTTCCTTTTTTAGAGCATGGTTCAGTATTCCTGTAGAGTAAAGGTCCTACAAAGTAGGAAGAAGCCTTGGCCCTTGGGAGGGTCAAATAACATTTACTTATGCCATCCAAAGTTTAGAGAAAAAAATGTGAAACGCTTAGTTGTAAAGATTTGGGCCTGTCCTGTTACTGAAAGCTGAATGGCCAAAAACCGACCAGTTATATTGCAGCTTGAGCCAAAGCTTTCTTGGGAATGTAGTTTGTTTGTATTGTAACCACTTCTTAGGTACATAAATCGGATAAAAATTTTTATGCCTGCTTAATACACATCCATTGGTGATAAGCTGCTCTTCTGTATTTAGGATGTTTTTTGCTCACTTATGTTGCCCCGTGGTTCTTTGGTTTTGCGGCCATGGTCTTCTTCCTCTGTCAGACCTTATGCCATGGTGTGTTTCGGGCAAACTCTCGATGTCATTATGTCTTTCGTCTTTTGTGTTTGTTTTTAACACATCTTTAGGTGTATCTATGTTTGAACCTGCCTCCTGGATTTGTTCTTCATGGTTTCCCACCCTGTGTCCATGGGATATATCGTGCTCTATGCCAGTATTTAGACATTACTTATCTGTATCTGTGTTTTGTTCCATGTTTCTGTGGTGGTTCATGCCTCTCTCGTTTATGATTTGTTTTTACATTGCATGCCCATTCATATGTATCTGCAATGTGTCTGTGTTTTGTTGGCTTCTTTTCTTGCTGTACAGCTGCCGCATGGAGTGGTCGAGATCCCTATGCATCTGCCCGCGGAAGCGTGCATATGGTACTTGCTGATCTTATTATAGTTGCATGTGGTGTTCTCATAGCCAGCGAGGCTATTAGCGCACATTTTCCCTGTTGTTCACTAATTCATAGTTTTGAACGTCAATAGATGAGTCGTCCTCATGTTATGCTGCCAATGAGCGATCAGTGCTCGCGGCAAGCTCATCATGTCCCATAGGTACATATGCTCGGTATCCTCAGAGTTAGCGAGCTCATCACCATGTTTATTGATTGTTCTTTTTTGCTGATTCACAATTTTGTTCGGCGATAGATGAACCATCCTCATCCTGTGCTTGTGATGAACGCCCAATGTTCACAGGTGGTTCATCGTTCTCAATAGGTATGTACGCTCGAAGTGATCATCGCTATCTCATTGTATAGTTCCATTCCTCACCCATTGCATATTTGTTCTCTCATATTTCACTACAATTGTTCTCTCGTTGCGACGTTGTATGCTCGGAGCATATATTCATATGCTTATGTTCATGTGTTTGCTCATTCATTCGTGCCAGCACAAATTTATTTTGTTTCCATTTTCTCATTCTGCCTCCTCATCTGAGTGTTCCACAGGGAGTCATGGGCCTTCCCTCATTCATCCTACCCACTCTGCCAGTTAGTTCCATGTTGCTATTTGTTTTGTTGTTCGGCTACCTATAACCTTTTTCTTTCTTGCTATTGATTGCCATGCCTATTTATGTTGTCCATAGGAGACCATTTCTGTCCAATAGTACCATCACGTATTGCTCGGGTTAACCGGGAAAAACGGCGGGCAGCTAGGAAAGCATGTGTCATTGTACGCAAAGGTTGTTCACCTGCTTATCTAAACCCTTCTTTGCGGTCAACTAGGTGGATCCTCTTATTGCTTTCCTTTCTCTTTGTTTCTTATTTGCTATTTCCGTTGCCCCGTTCTTGTTCTGTTTGCACAGAGGCTATCATGTATTCACCGTCAGTGAGGTTCTCATATTCTATACCAAAGGACTACATGGAGATTCTTAAAGGTGATAACTTAGTGCCAACCTTCCTTCGCTCTACTTTTCTCACTGTTTTTGGACTCTATATCTACCGTTGGACAAATATATCCATGCTCCCTTGCTTATGAGTTGCCCCATTCTTGCAGCTACGTACCCAGAACGTTCTTACTATGGTGGTCCTGATTATCAATGCAATCATTGTGGTGCGCTTTTTTGGTACCAAGAAAGAGTCGTTAGCCAGAGTTCGCATAGGGCTAAGAGGATTGCATACAATTTGTGTTGCCGTGGTGGGAAGATCTCCTTACCTGTGCATAGGCCTTTCCCTCCTATCCTACAATCATTGCTTCGTTTTGATGGCGGCGCCCGTTCCAGCTCTTTCATGCGACTCATCAGGCAGTATAATTCATTATTTGCATTCACATAACTTGGAGCTAACATTGACATGAGCATAAACACTGGTCATGGCCCTTATGTCTTCCGTATCAATGGTGTCGTGCATCATAGAATAGGTTCTTTGCTTCCTGCTCCTGGACGGCGCCCGGAGTACGCACAGCTATACATATATGACACCACCAATGAGCTGCAAAACAGACTTAATATTTTTGACCATGCTGACAGTGCTGCAGATGTCCCTGACCCTGCTATTGTACAAGAGCTTATCTCTATGCTTGACCAATGCAATCCTCTTGTGCAACAGTTCCGGATTGCTCGAGACAAGCTGCTCTCTCCAAGTGCTCCTGAAATTGCTATCAAACTCATTGGGTCAGGTCATTCTCAGGGTGATCGTTACTGCCTTCCCACTGCTTCTAAGTTGGCTGCGCTCATTGTTCCTGGTACATCTTCTGAGATATCGAAGTTTGATGTCGTTGTGCAGAAGCATTCAGGTGAATTGAGTCAGCTTTCTCCCATTCATCCAGCTCTTATGTCACTGCAGTACCCACTTCTCTTCCCATATGGTGATGTTGGTTTTCGTGCTGGCATTAAGCTTAGAGAGGTAGATGATCAGCCGCCTGCGAGTCGTGATGAGGCGTCCATGCTTGAATATTATCGGTATGAGTGCCACTACCGAAAGGATGAGCCCAACCTATTTACTTGTTGTGGTAGACTTTCTGATCAGCTCGCTGTTAATGCTTTCTCATGTATCGAGACATCTCGCCTCAACTTCCATACTCTGAGCCAGAAGAACCTTCGCTCTGAAACACATTAAGGTATATCTGATGCTGTTGGTAGGGGAGACACTAATGGAAAAGATGTTGGTATAAAGGTAATTCTGCCATCAAGTTTCATTGGAGGAAGGCGATACATGGTGCAAAATTACCATGATTCAATGGCGTTGTGCGGTGCCTACGGTCCTCCTCACATATTTTCAACTTTCACATGTAATCCTAAATGGCCAGAAATTGCTCAGGCGATTCGTTTTGAGCTAGGCCAGAAACCAAATGATAGAAGTGATATGGTCACACGTGTTTACCATATGAAGCTAGATGAGTACATTACATATATTAAGAATGGACAGGCATTCGGTCCAATACAAGCTGGTAAGTTCCATATCTCATTGATTATAGCTATCCAGTCTTTATACACATCTCTTTACCACCACATGTATTGCTTCTGCTAGCTGTTCATATCTTTTTTCTTGCTGTTTTATTTTCCAGTTGTATACACTGTCGAGTTCCAAAAAAGGGGATTGCCGCATTCTCATACATTAACATGGCTCATGGGTCAATCTGGAGATCCTTCACCTGCATTCATTGATAGCCTTATAAGTGCTGAGATACCAGATATAGGCACTGATAAATTTGGGTTTGGTCTTGTTGATGAATTCATGATACATGGCCCATGTGGTGAGCACAATCCACATTCTCCTTGCATGAAAGATGGTAGGTGCTCAAAGGGGTATCCAAAACAATTCTGTGATGTGACTTCCATAGATGATGATGGCTATCCTATCTATCGATGACGCAACAATGGTCGCTATGTGGTAAAGAATGGAGTTAAGCTGGATAATCGGTGGGTTGTCCCTTATAATCTAGCTCTTCTCAAGAAATTTCAAGGTCATATCAATGTGGAATGGTGCAATAAAACGTACCTTATCAAGTACCTTTTTAAGTATGTAAATAAAGGAAGTGATTGTACTGCGTTTGCTTTCAAGCAGAAGGATTTAGAGGAGGCAGACACTAGCAGCGCCAACAATGGTGGGATAGATGAGGTTATGCAGTACATCAAGTCTAGATATCTATCAACTTGTGAATCATACTGGAGATTATATGGGTTTGAGATACATGGAAGAACTCCTTCTGTTGAGCGGCTTGTTGTGCACATGCCCAATATGCAGTTTGTGATATACCATGAAGAGGTTGACCTTGAAGAGGTTATAGAAGACCCTGATTCTTCCAGAACTATGCTTACTGAATGGTTTGTTGCTAATCAACGACACATCTTTGCCAGGGATCTCACATACTGTGAGTTTCCCTCCAAGTTTAACTGGGACTCCGACAAAAAAGTCTGGACAAAACGTAAAAGAGGAACCAAAATAGGGAGGTTAAGGCATATTCATCCAAGTGCTGGGGAGCCATTCTACCTTAGAATGTTGCTGATGGTAGCTCGAGGTTGCATGACTTTTGAAGATGTCAGGACATACCAAGGTGTGACATATAGCACCTATCGTGAAGCTTGCCAGGCACGTGGTCTTATTGGTGATGATGCTGAATGGGTTCATCTCTTTGAAGAGGCAGTTATCTGGGCTACTGCATACCAACTCAGGAACCTATTCATGACTGTTCTAGCACATTGTGATGTAGGTGATGTTAGGGTTTTGTTTGATAAATACTGGAAGTATATGGCAGATGATTTTGCTTACAAGCTAACCAAAGCTCTTGGAGTACAGCGTAGAGCTATTCCGGATGTTATGTTACAGAACACCTTGCTCAAAGAATTGGATGGCATTTTCTCAAATAATGGCTTATTAATCTCATCATTCGATCTCCCGACACCAGCTGAATGTTCGGATACCAGTGCAGGAAATAGGCTTATTTTAGAAGAGCTTAGTTTCAACCAAGACAGCCTCCATGAAGAGTCTATGTCCATGTATGCCAGCTTGAATGATGACCAGAAGAAGATATATGACAAGGTCTTTGACAGGCTAGCTCATAAGGAAAAATGTATTTTCTTTATATCTAGACATGGTGGAACAGAAAAGACATTCTTGTGGAATGCTATTATGGCAAGGCTGAGGTCAAGAGGCGAGATCGTTCTTGCAGTTGCTTCTTCTGGAGTCGCAGCTCTGCTCATGCCTGGTGGAAGGACAGCTCATTCACGCTTTCGAATACCTATAGATATACATGATCAGTCCATGTGTGGTGTTCGTAGAGGTACAATACTTGGAGATCTTATTAAGAAGGCATCATTGATTATATGGGATGAGGTGCCTATGACAAACAAGCTATGCTTCGAGGTGCTGGATAGAACTCTTCGGGATATTCAGTCCACTGATGATGCAAGTAATGCGCATAAGCCATTTGGAGGTAAAGCAATTTTGCTTGGTGGTGATTTTAGGCAGGTCTTGCCAGTGATTCAGCAAGGTACAAGAGCTGATGTGGTGCCTGCTTCCTTGGTTAAATCTGCATTGTGGAACCATGTTGAAGTCTTACACCTCACCATTAACATGAGGCTACATAATCCATCGCTCTCGCAGCAAGCCAAGGATGAGCTAGCAGAGTTCGCTAAATGGGTTCTTGACATTGGTGAGGGACGTGTTCCAATGGATAGACGACAGGGTGAGGTTGAAAAGACATTGTCACGCCCAGAAATTCCCGAATAGAATTCCAAGCAGAATGTGCATTAAAATCCCCGTCCAGGACCGGCCGGGGTACACAAACGACAATGTTGACATTCAGATCCACGTCTTACAAACATCATAAAAGTCTTACATAAATGCAGCGGAAAAACGAAAGACAACAGGAGCTAAGCCTTGACTAGAACTGCAGCGGGAACACCACTCCACAGGCATCCTCAACGGCACGGACGAAGCCTACTCCTCGGAGAAACCTCCATCTGACACATACTCATACTCTGGGGTTGGGAAAAATAGAGCAAGACTGAGTACTACCCACTGTACTCAGCAAGTCATACCGGAATAGGGGTATGATGCAGGGAATTATCAAAGGAGAGCTAGAGTGGTTCATTTGCATAAAGCGAGTATTTATAAACAGAAGTTTAAAGAAGAAAACAGTCGTAATAATTAATCAATATTAATCATCCACTGTCCAACGCTATACCACGTTGCGACAGGCCCAACCATCCACCTATACTATCTAATTTCAAAAGACTAAACTAGGGTGAGTCTAATCACGGTGAATCTGGTTGACCGCCCATAACCGCGGGCACGGCTATTCGAATAGTTTTACTCTGATCAGAGGTGTACAATTGTACCCACAAGACAGCCCCACGACACGTTTCCGTGCGCCGACATGCCACCACGACATACCGGAAAGAGGCCGTGATAGGACCCTTCGCATAACCCCCTCTAGCCAAGCACACCACACCTCAGGTTTCACCCCCGTCCCCAGCGGGCGATGGGCAGTCCCCTCTCGTGCCTAGGTGAATCCGGAAGCCGCATAGGCCGTCGCAGGGCCCATCCAAACTCCATCACGCCCACCCTTGCCTGGATGCGTCAGCTAGAGAAAAGCTACACTACAAGCCCAGCCGTTGCCCACGCTGGCTTGTGGTAAGCACGATAAATTCTTCCAGGGTTTCCCGCGAACCGGTCCTTAATTGCTATGGGTGCGACAAGCAAAACCATGCACCCACAGCCCACCATGTGATTCATTTTAATTAACCAACACCAAAGCGGTGGTACTAAACCAACATTATCATATGAACCTACAGTCTATATTTTAAATGAGATTTCCCCATTGTGTGCTAGTTGAACTAAGCATGGCTAAGCAACTCCTAGTCCAACGTCTATTCATGTTATAACCCGAGCTAACAAAGGAGCAGGGTACCAAAATAGCATGGCTGTAACAATAGGTAAACATCCCATAGTAACATTATAAAACGATGCAGTATTTGAAGAAAAACAATAGAGCATTTGCAATATAGGATCAACATGTTCAAGTGACAGGCATGACTTGCCTTGCTCTGCAGCTGGAGGAACCTCGGCGACTATCTCGAAGTACACCGGAGCGTCGGAAGAACCGGAATCTAGGCGACATACAAAGCAAACAATACAAACAGGCTATAAGACTACTGAAACAGAGAACAAAACCATTTTTAGTGGATTCTACGCATTTTTCTTGATTTACTGAGACTTGAATGGGCTTAAACGGAGCTCGGATGAATTAGTTATGAATTTTAGAAGATTCACTGTGTTTATTACTATAACAAAAAGTCCTTAAATCATTTATTGCGCAATAATTCCCAGGGCTGACGTCATCAAGGGGGGGCGCCGACATGCGGGGCCCACCGGTCAGCGGCTCGGGAGAGAGGGAAAAGGGGCGCCGGCACGCGGGCCCCACTCGGCAGCGGCTCAAGGGGGGCACGGCTGGCAAGCGGGCCCCACGGCCCCAGCTCCACGGGCCGATGTACCGGCCAGGCCCGGCATCAAGCCGACCAGCCGGCCATGGCAAAGCGGCGGCGCGCGCATGCGACCGCCGGCGACGGCAAACGGCGGCACGGACGGCAGGCGGCGGCGCGAGCGGCGACGACCGAACGCGACGGCGAGCGCACGAAGAGGGCGGCGGCGCACGGGAAAAAAAGGGAAGGAAAGGAAGGGGAGGGAGACCTCACCGGAGGGGCGGCAACGGCCGGCGGTGGAAAACGAGGGAGGCGGCGAAGACCGGCGATGCCGAGGTGCGGACAAGCGACGGCGACACCTAGGGAAAAAGAGAGGAGGAATTAAGACAGAGGGAAACCCTCACGGCGACCATCCACGCCGGCCGGAGTCGGAGGGGAGAGAGAACTAACTGGCGACACGAGGGAGATGGGGTTTCGGTGGGATTCCGGCGACGCAAAGCGGCGGCCGGGAAAGGTCTTGCGGCGGCGAAGCTAGGGGTGGCGGTGGCTTAGCGCGGCGACGGCTCTAGCGGCGGCAGCACACGGCCGGAGTGCGGCGGCGGGCGGCGGCGCAAGCGGCGGCGGCGCGAGCTCGGTAGGGGGCACGGGATGGAGCGGTGAGAGCGGAAAACGAGAGAGAAGGGCATGGGGAGCATTTTATAGGTGGAGGGGGAGGCGGACGTGGCCGGGAGGCGCCCCGATTTCGCCGGCGACGTGGGGGAGGAGAGAGAGAAGGTGGGGGGCGATTCAAAATCGAATCCCGCCCCTCTCGTGCGCAGGCGCGGCCGGAAGACGCGGGGAGAGGGGGCGGCGACGTGGCGTGGGCACGGGCGACGCGGCGTGGGGCGCGGGGAAAGCGGAGGAGTGGGTGCGGCGATGGCGGTTGCGAGGTAGGAGACGGGCCCGACAGGTAGGGCCCACCTGTCGGCGTCCCGGGTGGGAGGAGGTAGGCGGCCGGCCCAGCGGAGGGGAGAGGAGGAAGGAGAATGGGCCGGCGGCCCACTCGAAAAGAAAAGGGGGAAAAAGAAAAAGAAAAAGGAAGAAAAGGATTTTCCCTGGAATTAAAATATTGCTTGCTCAATTTTAATTGGTTAAAATTATTTCTAGGGCTCTGAAAATTCACTAAAAATCTTGTTAGCGAATTTCGACATGTAGAACTCAAAAGTTCCACATGTCAGTTCCGATTATTATTTGCATTAATTTATTAAGGTTTACTCTTGCTTTACACAAGTATTCTCTTGAGACCATTTATAACTTCAATTTAGGCTTGGGAAAGAACTTTGGGGTGTGACAGACATAGATACAGATACCTGAGGAATTGTTGCTTACTCCACATGGTGACAAGATTACAGCTATAATTGATGCTGTCTACCCAGATTTTCAGACCAACTATGACTGCATCCCATATCTTGCTCAGCGCGCAATAGTCTGTCTAGTAAATGCAGTTGTTGATGAGGTTAATGATATGATGCTTGCCAAAGTACCTGGAGAAGCAAAGGACTATCTTAGCAGCGACACTATTGCAAATACACTTGAGAAAGCTGCGGATTTTGATCTGTTGTATCCCATAGAATTTCTAAACTCGATATCCATAAACAACTTCCCGGAACATCACATATCCCTGAAAATTGGTTCAGCAGTTGTCCTACTTCGCAACATCAACCAATCACTTGGCCTTTGCAATGGGACAAGATTACTGGTTACTCGACTTGGTGATTTTATTTTTGAGGGCAAAATCATGACTGGGACAAATATTGGCCAGCTGGTCTGTATTCCACGGATTGTCCTAAGTGGAAATAGTCCGAAGTGGCCTTTCACGCTCCAGCGCAGGCAATTTCCTATCAGACTATGTTATGCAATGATAATAAACAAATGCCAAGGGCAGACATTAGGAAATGTTGGTGTATACCTCAAGAACCCTATCTTCACACATGGATAGCTATATGTTGCTGTTTCGCGAGCTACATCAAAGGAAGGACTCAAGTTATTGATAGAAGATGATGATGGAAATCCTTGTTCCACCACCAAGAACATCGTCTACAACGAAATATTATCGTTGCTGTAGATTAGTTTTATTGTGGCTATCTCTGCAGCACTGTGATGGCTCTTTTGTGAAGCTCTTTGTTCTGTGATCCCATTTGTCGGTGCAGCTTTCCTATTTTGTTGTTCCCTTTTGTTTAGCCTTTACTGCCAGCTTGTGTTCGTATATGTGTTGTTCCTGTTTGATCACTTGCTTGTTCCAGTGCCTTTCATGCGTGCTTATCGATTCTTCTTTCTTAATTTCCATATTTCTCTCTTGTTACTATCAGCTGCTTTTAGACATGATTTATTAAAATGCCCTGCACTGAAAATAATTCTCAGCTCCAAAACTAAAAAACTTATATGCTCCACCATAGTCCCTTCAGCAATTACAGCTTTGCGCCTTCATATCATGCAGAACATTGTTTGTATAATTCCCCTCTAACCTGCATGATGTGTTTTCTATGCCCTGCAGATGGATTACAGTCTCCTAAAGGATGTCACACAGGAATCACACCGTTGGCGCGTACGAGTGCGGGCAACCCGCTTCTCGGAGTTCACCACAGCTAATGAGCCTGACAAGATTTTGCGCCTTGATTTAGTCCTGCTTGATGAGCAGGCATAGCACCGAGTACATGCTTTCTTTCTCTGCACACTATTTGCCTCCGCACCCTCTTACATATTGAAACATCAACAGGGCGACATGATGGATGCGCAAATCCCAGGACGCCGCGTTGTTCAATTCAAGCCTTTGCTAAAGGAAGGCGCTGTGTATTACATCAAATACTTCGAAGTCGCCGAGGCACGCCCCCAGTATAGGCCTGTTGATCGACTGTTGATGGCAAAGTTCACTGCTCACACAACCGTTACAGAAGATACTGGACCACCATCCACGTTCCCATCTTATGCCTGCAAAATTCTTTCTTTTGATGAACTCAGAGCTCGGGCTTACAAGAAAGATATTATTTCAGGTAAGTCTCCTTGGCCCAGATCAATCTATATTATTGCTTATTAATCTTCTCCATTTCTAGCTTGCTGCCCTCATTTACTCATATACAGTTTTCCTCCCTCATATTCCCATGTAGATGCTATAGGCATAATGACAGCCATCGGGCCAGTGCAGACTGTTTCTTATGCAGGTGTTATGAAAGCTGTGCTTAATGACCATATAACCAATGGAAGGTATGTGCGTATCGATACGTTACCTATTCCAAACATATTTCTGTTCTGGGTGAGTGAAAGCTACCATCCAAAATGAGCAACCTATGCACGGATAGATCATTATTGCTTTTTTCATGTGCATCATCGATTTCTTGGAAACATATATGTTTCTCCTTTTTTTTCTAGACGAACATTCTCTGGCATCTTGATTAGTAGCAAATATGGATGGTTAAAAAGTCATCTGCATTATTTTCCACTTCTTAGTTCTTTTATGTGCTTGCAGAGAAACTGTCGTCGTGGCGTTATGGGGTCCCCATGCTACACAATTCCACGCTGAAAACTTGCAGCAGCAAGCAGACAATGGACATGTTGTCATGTTATTTGTTGGTTTAACTGTTAAATTTCGAGACCGTAAGAAATAAATTCCTGTTCTATTATCCCTCCTATCTCATTTGCATATTTTCACTGTTCTAACTCACATGATGTGTTCTTTCGTCTTTGACAGGCCAGCTAGCCCTACAGGGTAGCACTGTCTGTAGATGGTATCCTAACGCACCAATCCAGGAAACAATCTCCCTCATAAGCAGGTGCCACTTAGCTCTGCTCTTTTCATACACATAGACATCCTTCTACTTTATTCAACATATTTTTTCGCTACCTTATGTGTCATGTAGATCAATGCTTTTCCCTAACCTACAAACCAGAGCACTAACTTCTTTCACATTTGAAGCCTTCACGGTAACCCACAGGTGGTCAGGATGATAGAGGCTAACTTCGGTCAAAAGGAAGCTATAAATGTCAAAGTTTCTGATATTTGTGACCTTAATCCCCATGAGGCCTTGGTAATATAACCTACCTCAGCGCTACTAGTGATCATTATTTCCATCATATGTTATTAGCGCCATCCTTTACTTGTTCCATTTTTCGCATGTCAACCAGGGCAATAGCTATGTTGTCAATATAATCATCAGGGACTTGGTTCCTGCTGAGCCTTGGTGGTATATAGCATGCAGCACCTATAAGAGAGGCACAGCTAGAGAAGGAAACGCATATAAATGCCCGAGATGCAGCACTGATGCAATAGAAACAAGGTGCTCTTATCATATGCACACATGTAGCTTTTCTCAAGTATTTTACATGATAAACCAATCTATATGCTACAATTCAATCCATGTGTATTGAGAACTGTCTGAACTGCCTTCTATAATAGGTACAGAGTAGTTATCATGGGTATCGATCCATCGGATTTGGCAAACGATCAAGCCAAAGCTGCTGAGTTTACCTTCTTTGGAGAAATCGGTGAACAATTGATTGGCAGGCCTGTTCTTAACCTGGTTGCATCTGTTCATGGAGCACGAGATATAGTACCACCAGAGATCAAAGCAATTTTTGGCAGACAATATGTCATTAGAACTAGTGTGTCACGTGGCTCATTGCAAAGAAATCGGGTATCCTACCAGGTGGATTCCCTTATGCTACCCCACCCAGATCCAAGCCATGCAATTTGTCTACCCAGCCATGATACTTGCATGGGCTCTTCTGGACATGGCTCAACATCAGCTAATGCAGTTGAACCACATGCCATCGTTTTGTCTTCTACTCAATCTATGCCACCTTCTACGCCGTTTGTGCTTCCAGATACAAAGGTATAATCTAATTGTGTTGTCTTATAAGGATATGTGACCTGTTACATCTAAGTTACCATAATTTCTTAGATTATATCCTTTTTGTATAGGACACAAGGGACAGCCATGGTGATCAGCATGAGGCAACACCACCTACTCCACAGGCTAGCAATATATTTTATACTCACATCAATTATATGCATATGTCTTTGTCAGACCTTCCTAACCATTAATACTTTATCAGGTCATAGCTATAGCACATCTAGATAAAAAACGTAAATCTTCTATGGCTGATGAGAATCTTGGCCATGGAGGGTTAGTGCCAATGGAAAATTTCATGTTTTACTTTGATTTCTTCTCTTTTTCCTCATGACTCAAACAACTTCCATTTGTAGCTCATCTCCTGATGAACATGATCGTCGCAAGCCTTCTGTTGTGCACACACTGTTCGTAGACAAGCTGCCACCAGAGCTGCCAAAATGTGACCAACTATACTCAAGCAACTATGTATTTCTTGCCTCCTCATTTGTTATAGCAAAAATGTGACTCTGCTTTACATTCTTCGTTTCAGGACTTGAGCCTCCCATGTGATATCCCCAGAGCGAAGTGACCTTTTGCACCTGGCATGGCAACGCGCATACTTCTCTCCCTGATTGAAGCAAAGCTAAAATACTTTGGTCAATCTATTTTGCAGTGCCAACATAGAAAAGAGAAATGTTCTTTTGCGCAAGCCATTAGACCAATCGATATTAGTTTTACCTGTTACGGGCTCACTACCCCTAATAGCTAGCCAAATGATAAATGAATTAGTATCAGCAATGTTTGGTGTCTGTAATATATGCACGTTCTAACAAATATCACTGCAAGTGATAAGACATAGTCTTATTAATAGTACTATATCTATTCCGCTTATACTACTTCCTTCCTGAGCAATCTGCTTACATTTGTGCCATAGAATCACCACTTCTGTTGTTTCTTATATATGAAACCATTGTACCTACGCATGTCTATCCAGGTGGTTGCAGACCATGTATCGATTATCTTATACCGGATAGTTGTTCTCCAGCATACACTGTCCTATTAGAGGTAAAAAAAAAAAGCTGTTGCATAGGCTGCAGACATAGATTTCTTCTTTTTTTTTTCCCTTTTTATGTGCAGAGCATCCGACCAGGCGCAATTCTTCTCAGCAATGCTTTTCATCAGTGCAGACATCCAAACCATTTCAGAACACCAGAACATTCACATCTGTACATCAGTCAATCGTGCTATAACGCTACTCCAGTATTACCGCATACCCACACAAGCATAACTAATAATCATACATAAACACGATAGATTTTAGCTAGCCGCTTAAATTACCATTACATTACAAACTGCATATGTCTTTCTATATAGACATGAATACATAACCAACATATAGCATATATACATATTGTTTCATCCATCCAGGCCCAGCTATACACAACATTTGCTATATAACACACACTTATTACAATTAGCCACAACAACCCTACCAATAACTTACTGCTAATAAGAACAGTCACAACCCCTATTCTTTTTTGTCAGCTTCATTCCCAAAAGCAATCCATACAGATGTTCTTACAGGCACCTATCAGTAGCACTGCTAAGGTTAGCCAACCCTTCATCCATTTTAGATTCAGCATATTCACCAAGACGATGCACATCATATAGCACTCCAACCTCACGATGATTAAGATCATCAGCACCAGGGCCTCCTAAAGCAAAGGAACATGTATCATTACATATTTGATTCACAAAAGCCAATGAATCTAAAGCTCTATCCCAACCAATTTCTAGCAAACGAGCCTTCTTTGCAAGACTATTACGTTCCTTCCTGACTCTCCCAAGAGCTCTCTTCAGTCGGAACACCTTAGCGTGATAGCGATTCATATCAAGCCAGTTCGTATCTTCGATCTCCACTCTGCACTCTTTCTTGATAACAGCAATTAGTGCATGTGCGGCACTTTCTTCCGCATCACATGGCCTTATAGCTGGGATGCCATGTGCACGAACAAGAAATGGCTCTTCACCTCCTCTTACACCATAAACAGATGCCTCAGCAGAGCCAACATACCCATCAGTGACAGCATGACAATTATAACGTGCCTCATTAGCGCCTATGCTTCTAAGGATCTCAGACAACAACATTTTCGACCTGATGTGCACAAGGTGGCGTTGTTCTGTTATACCATAACAAAAACAGAGTCAATAAGAATAGCAGCATCATAGGTCCATCCCCTTTCCTTTCCCCTTATTCCTAAAATTTCCCTACACAGGTACATATAAATATAACCATCTCTTTTTACCAGATCACCAAATGAAATAACAGGCATTCAAATCCCTACCACATCAATCATCTGTATTTTTTTAAAAGAGACATGACCTATTCTAGAGAGCTCAAATAGATTGAGGTCATCGTTCAATTAACAGCCTACACAGCCACCTTGCAAACTGTAAAATACTATTGGCCATTCTATAGGCTTCCAAGCCAAGACAGATTAACTTAAAAATAATCGTGCCACTAAAAAAACACCCATCCCCATTTCCATTATATCGAGCAGATTAAAGACCGAGCCAAACTATCACCACAAATTAGTAAAGAGCACACCTCAATCCACAGGGTTAATCGCTGTATATGCATACATACCTTGCACAGGTTCGTCCATGCTAGCTAAATGTCCTTTGGCTAAACCGCTAAGATCAGCAGCGCCGCCGCCGCATCGATTCAGCGTTAAAAAAACAGCCAGCACTCCTACATATATACCAGCCCCAACAAAACATATGCAATGACAGCACAACACGTTGCCCTAGGACATCCATCCTTAGCTAAAAAAGGCCTTGCATCCTGAAGCCCACCAGCAGCCCACTATTTATACTCTTGCACACCTTTAAGAGCCCAACGTCAAACATAAGCACAAAAGCCTATAGCTCCTTGATATGTTAGCCCGATCAGCCCACGATAACAACAGAGAGATCCAATGCTTACTGCTGCACGACCTAAATAGCCAACTAAATACGACCTAAACAGCCAACTTAAAAAGCCGTTTTCCATCAATTGTTACATCGGTACTGATCAAATAACACGAATCGGTTATAAACCGCGCGGCGCAGCGCGCGAACCCGCTCTAGTATATATAGCAATGCAACATATAATAGCACTGACATCGAGTTGGAGATGAAGATGAACATTTTTATAAAAAAAACTCAACACATGACGATTGATTTAGCTAGTTAGCACTCTAATTTTAATGCCTCTGCATTGCAAGTTTTGTTGGAACCATTTCTTTTCATGTGTAAACAGTGTACTATCAAGAAGGGATGAATTGGCGTGGTGAAAAATAAAGAAATTAACTTCAATCCGGCTCGTTATTTACTGATGAGAGTTTTGCGGACAAATATGCGCGCTCTTCTCTTAAGTCTGAACGTTTCTGTTTAAAAGGAGAGGCGAAAATTACAAACAAACGAATGGATTATTAACACTTTATAGGGTCCCTTTGAAATGAAGGATTGCCATAGAAATTTTGGAGGATTCAGTTTTCTATGAAATTTTTAAGTATGGAATCATTTAATTCATAGGAAATGGTAAGAAATGTTTCGGAGGATGGTGTGTGTGTGTATCTTAATTAATTTCATATATATAAATAAGAAGACGTCATATCTGTTGGAAACTTTTCTCTTCTTCCTTTTGTTTTCTGTGATGCTATCGGAAGGCTCCCCTTCTCTCTCTTATCTTTTTCGTTTATGTAGGATTAGGATAAGAGAAACATGCCGTTCCAATTAATTTCTATGTTTTTTTTTATTTTTGTGTTTTCATATACAACATTTCAAAGAGCGTTAAGTTTATCAAAACATGCTTCGGTAGAGATCGAATGCTACATAATTCACATAAGTAGTCATCTAGTCTGATTCATCACTATACTAGCTTAGATAGCTGTTGAAAATTAAAGAGCATATATAGAAGAGAATGGCGCTATTCCTAGTAGGTAGGTAGCTGTGCTGTCTAGTGATATAGAGTACTTCATCCGTTCCATAAAAAATCAACCTAGTATTAGATGTAACATATTATAGTTAGTATTAGATGTAACATATTATAGTACTACGAATCTGAATATAACTTTGTCCAGAATAATGTATCATATCTAATTCTATATTTGTTTTTTTATGAAAGGAGTATGTATTTGCTTCATTTCTTGATTTGTATTTTTTTCGTTCCAAAATAGTTTAATCTAGGATTGTTATCCATGCACAATGAAGTTGGATAAATTTTCATATAGATTCGTTATATTAAAATAGGTCATATCATATTCTACATTGAGTTATACAGGAACGGAAAAAGTACTGTCATATGGTAGCCGCTAACGAAGATATATTTTCGTTGGTATCTGACTTAAGCCGGCTGTCATAGTGACTGGACCCAGCGAAAACATATTTTGGCCCAAAAAAACCCATTTCCGTTCCTTGTTGTGTGCCCGGCCAGCCTCTCGATGCGATGCATACATAGTTTTATTTTCTTCTCTTTGTTTATTAACCGAGCGTACCCCTCACATTATTGGATCTCCAACAATAATTGGTACTACTGACATTCATATATATGCTAATATATAAAGCTATTTGCATTTAATTTAATTATATGACTAGCTAGTGCTACGACATTCTGATTCATGAATACATAACTGCAATTAGCGCAGACAAATTTAGGTAATTAATATATCCTAATTGGATATATCTAAGCTATAAAAACAGCCGGCCATCCCGTCCATGCAACACTGACTACTGACTAGCTATAGCAGCAGCACTACTGTTCTTCATAATTCCAAGGTAATTAAGCTAGCAAGCAAGCAACAGAGATCGATCGATCGATCGATCAATGGCGGCGTCGTGGAGCGAGAGTGAAAACGCGAGGTTCGAGCAGGCGCTGGCGACGTACGACAGCGACAATCCCAACCGGTGGGAGCTCATCGCCACGGCGGTCGGCGGCGGCAAGACGGCCGACGACGTCAGGCGCCACTACGACCACCTCCAACACGACGTCACCACCATCGACGACGACCACTCCCACGCCGCCGGCGAAGCCCTCCCCAACGGCAACAACAACAATAATACTAACAAGTACCGATACATACCTCACTTCCTTCCTTCCTTCCTTCTTAATTCTATTTATTCATTCAAATATATATACTCCTGTATAGAGTAATTTCCTAGCTAATTATTATTAACATATATGCATATACGTAGATTGATTTATTAATTATCGATGGATTATATATGTTTGCAGAGGAAACCGAAACCAGGCATGATCGATCGATCGACGACGGCCGGTGATGGTGCACGCAATTGCTTAAGCTTTCATGGTTAAATATTTTTTTTCACATAAAAGTAAAAAAAAAAACATGATCGATCGATGCGGACCTTATATTGATCCATGCATATTGGCCTAAATATATATGTATGAGCCAATGTTGCATCTGGCCACGTACCTGCGCCAATATTGGAGTATTTGGTATTTATACGGTACGTATGACAACTTTGTGCTTGCATCTCCATCAATATATTATTACTAGTGGAGAATAAATTTATGTGTATTCAGAGGGTGTGTTTGGATAATAGGAAATAGGGGGTGGGATTGAGATTGGGAAATGAATGAAGCATTAGGATTAAATAAAAGAGTGAGAATGAATGGTTAGGATTGAAAGATGCCTTTTGGTGGGTTGGAAATCATTTCCATTTCCTATTAGCCAAACATTGCTAGAGTGTGATGCATGCTTTACCACCTAAACATTATATGCAGCTAACGGGCGATTGATCGCTGCCAGCGATCGTTTTTTTTTCCTTTTCCTCTTTTAGTAAGTTTATACACCTAAAGTTTGTAGATCGAATGTTTATAAGTCAAATGTTTATATACCCGATTCAAATTCAAATTCAAATTCAAATATTTTATATTTTTATCTTTTAGTAAATTTATACACCTAAAGTTTACACATCTAAAGTTTATCCACCTAAAGTTTGTAGAGCGAATATTTATAAATCAAAAGTTTATATACCCGATTCAAATTCAAATTCGGATTCAAATATTTTATATATAAAATATTTCTATACACAAAGTTTATGCGTGCAAAGTTTACGGTATAAAGTTTATGCATATGAATAAGAGTATTAGATTTTTTTCGAATTTTCTTTTACTATTTTTTTAAAAAAAATATAATGTAATATAAAAGTAAAAAAGAGATATGAAAGAAGAGTATTAGGGGCAAAGGACGGGTGATCGCTAGGAGGAGAGGGAAGCGATCACCCGCCCACTAGCAATACCCTCATCTTTATTCTCACTTCCCCTCGACCAATATATCTCCATGCAAATGAGTAGATCTAATGGGCGAGTGTTCACATAGCTTGGGTGCGCCAAACATGTTCGGTCTAGCCCACATGGGTCCAACCCATCACGAGACATTATCCCAAAAGTTTATGCATAGAAATTTTATTCATTTCAGAACTTTGTTTGAATTCACCGGATTCACTATGATTGGCCTATAAATGCAGCCATAGAAGCAAGTTGTCGATAAGCTCATTATTATTAATAGAAATCTGTAAGATTTCATCCCCAAGTTTCATTCGAATGCCATATAACAATCCCGTTATTATTAGTAGAAATTTTAGGCCATAAAACATGTTATGTTACTCTCAGGCTCCCACTAAGTCAACCAGAAATAAACTTATCGACTAATAAAAATAACATAGACGAGGTGAAGGACTGGAAGTGGCCCCCACAAGCACGTCTAGTAGAAGCTAATGTGGATGGTGAAAACAGAGCAAAGAGCAAATTGTTTATGGACCGATCCGCTCCGAGTTTGACTAAAGTAAAGATATGGTAAGCGTTAGCATCCGACCACAGATCTAGGATTTACCAAGGGCTGTGAGTGTAAACGGGGTGTGTCCGGGTGTGCAGTGTGCTCGGGAGCGAAAAGGAACATGATCGTGTATACAGGTTTGAGCCTTTCGAAGGATAATACTTACTCATGTTCTTGGTCGGTATCAAAGAAGTTTGTATAAATTACCAGGTGCCCTCAGGCTAGTCTAGGAAGCCGGATGTTTTTGCCAATGACATATGGCATATTACCAAAATCCCACGGTCGAATATCCGATTTCTTATGTGGGTCATTCAAGAAAGGGCTATTTGGAAGAAAAGATGTACCATCACCCGATACATGTATCATCATGTTCCATTCAAATGGCTTATCTATTATTTTTAACTTGAAGACTCTATCGTGAGTTTGGGAGCCTATCTGTCGGCTTCTTTTTGTTCTATATTGTTTATGTGAGCAATTCAACTGTGTAAATTTTTAATACCTCATGGTACCTTCTCAAGAAACATAAAATTGCTCTGTTTATGTATGTATGTTTTATACGATAATTTTGATCCATTCTTAAGCCGTATCTGTTTTGACTCTGTATCATTTCCGTCATCCGCATTGATACCAAAATTGAACCCGCTAAAAGATTGTTGTGTAGGATATCATATGAGCTCTTTATGTCCGAATCCACTTTATTTGCATAATTGCATCGCGTCACTGGATCTAGGAGCTTCGGCAAGAAGATGTCATGATTATACGGAAAACGGCTCAAAAAATACATCCGTCCTAAAAAAAATTAATTTTTCATCAATGCCAAAAAAACCAATATAAAACAAAAAGATTAAAACACCCTCACTTTATGAAATCCTAATACTATTATCAGATTTGCTAGACAACTGCATTTATCCACTACTTTTACCAACTTCAATCATTTGCAACTTGTTTTGAGAGACAAACAGGAGAGACAAAAATGATCTTATTCATTCAGAGACCATAAAGCAGTAAGAGATGATTTATAAGATAAGGATTAAGAGAAGTTAGGGAGTGCATTTTTAAGACGGATTCGTCCGACGTTTATGTGAGGGTGACCAGCTAGCTGATAGCTGAGTCAATTTGTGTGACTTAATTTGCGACCACGTAGCAGTATATGTATAGTATTAGTATAGCCCCGAAGTTAGTTGAAGACCTCTTGGAGTAGAGATCGAGGAAGAAGAAATAATCAATGGAGTGTTGGGAGAAGAAGCCAAGGAATCTGGGTGGCTCGCTGCCGGTGCCCAACGTGCAAGACCTCGCCGCCCGCCCGGACCACCTCACGCCCACCCTCCTCCGCCGCTATCTTCGCCCGCACCACCTGTCCCTGCCCGCCGACGACCACCATGCCATGGCTATGATACCTGTCGTTGACTTTGCCAGGCTCATCGATCACCATGAGGAGGCCGCCAAGCTGAGGCACGCCTGCGAGGAGTGGGGTTTCTTCCAGGTGATCAACCACGGAATCGCCGACGAGACGGTGGAGGAGATGAAGCGCGACGTCATGGCCTTCTTCAACCTCCCGCTGGCCGACAAGGCGGCGTTCGCGCAGCAGCCGGAATGGATCGAGGGCTACGGCCAGGCGTTCGTCACGTCGGAGGACCAGACGCTGGACTGGTCCGACCTCTACTTCCTCACCACGCAGCCGCCCAGCTACCGCGATCTCCGCTTCTGGCCACCGGAGACATCCTCCACCTTCCGCCGCTCCATGGACCGCTACTCCCTCGAGACGCAGCGGGTGGCCACCGAGCTCCTCCGAGCCATGGCGCGCAACCTGGGCCTGCGCGACGCCGACAAGATGACAAGGCTCGCCGCGGCGCAGTCCATGCGGATGAACTACTACCCGCCATGCCCGGCCAAGGAGAGGGACAGGGTCCTGGGCGTGTCGCCGCACTCGGACGCCGTGGGGCTGACGCTGCTGCTGCAGGTGAGCCCGGTGAAGGGGCTGCAGATCAGGAGGGGCGACGACTGGATCCCCGTCGACCCCATCCCCGGCGCACTGGTGGCGAACGTCGGCGACGTGGTCGAGATGGTGACGAACGGCAGGTACAAGAGCATCGAGCACCGGGTGGTGGTGGACGCGGCGCAGGAGCGGGTGTCCGTGGCGGCGTTCCACAACGCCACGTTCGGGTCGACGTACGGACCACTGGAGGAGATGGTGGGAGGCGGCGAGGCGCGCTACCGGAGCATCAGCGTGGAGGACTACGTCAGGCTCGTCGTCTCCAGCAAGCTCCAGGGCAAGAACATCTTGGACGCTGTCAAGATTATTACTACGACTTAATTTCTCATCTTATCATGCCTGCTGATTAATCAATCAATCAATCTCCCTGGTTGGTTGGTTGCTGCCGAGTAAACTATTCATGCCACTTCAATTATTAGTAGGTAAAAAGGATCTATCATGCATACTACTTTCCGTTTTTATTGGAGTAAGGTTTATATAGGAGTACCTTTGAATAAACAAACAAATCTCGTCTACTTTGATGTAAAGGTTTGTTGTATATGAGGTTTGCTTCATTGTACGCTACAGTTGCCTGAGTATACGGCTAATGTACATGTGTCTTGCTACATAAACAATTAGTAATTACAAGGTACACAAGCTTTAGCAAAGATGTGTGTAAATCATATCATGCGTGCTCATCCATCGATCAAACAATCCCTCCATATATCACTGGCCGGGTGCCGGGTAAATTTTCCATGCCACTTCAATTAGGTAGAAAGGATCTATCATACTTTCTGTTTGTACTGAACTGGGTCCCTACTTTGAATAAACAAAAAACCTCGATCGTGTACTTTGATGTAATAAAGATATTGATGGGCCGGGTTGCTATGGGAGTATCTATATATCTTTCAAAAGATTTTTATGATCGTATCATACAGATTTTTAATCTTTAGAGTAAAAGACAAAAAGTAACTAAAAAACATCATAATGGACATTAATATTACCATATCTTTAAAGAAAAAGACCAAATCCATTATAAATTTCAAAACTTACATGTAAAGATTCAAAAATTACACTGTAACATACAAAAGTTACAATATAAGTTTTATAAATTACACTGTAACTTACAAGAAAATACACTGTAAATTTAAGTGAGAAAATCGAGTGAGAGATAAGAAAGAAATCTTTCGAGTGATATATAGCAAAATCACGCTACAGTTCATTTTTTCTTTTACACCAGATTACGCTACAGTTTGCCAAACGTTTAGGGAGAATAGCCAATATGTTCCCTAAAGTTTTGCTCTTGGATCATTTTAGTTCTTAATATTTTATAGTGTTCAAACAAGTCATATCACGTGGTTTAACATAGCACTTGGTGCCACCAAAATCACCACATAGACATGCCATATCACCCTCAATTTACCTATATAATAGAAACATAAACATAAGGAAATGAAAACATTGAGTTGGACTACAGGAAGCAAATCTCTACTATTATAAAAATTGAAGATGTTTTTGCCGGTATTTTGGTATGTCATTCGTGTATGAGTCGGTTTTAAGTTTGTTTGCTTTTGGAAATATATATCCGTATTTGAGTCGGTTTTTAAGATTGTTCACTTTTGGTAATACAGAAGGAATCATATAAGAATTCTATTTAAAAAACTCAAATGCTAAGCTGAGATGATCGGACTCCTAACTGCAACTCATGATTTTCTAAAAAAAATATATATCCAAGGGAACTCCAATAGTGAATTTCATCTTAACTAAACCATATAATAATAATAAGATTAAAATAAACTTCACCCGTTGTAACGCACGGGCATTTTTTCTTATATGATTAAAAAATTAAAAATTATATAACTCTAAATTTGCCATTACTTTATATAGCAATACGTCATATTCTATCTTCATGGTATTCTCAGACTAGAAACTTTCGGCCCGTCATTCTCATATTTTCGAAGAATTTCTCTTTTCAATTGAATCGAAAATGTTCTCTAGCAAATTATCAAATTTTAAAAGTGTTTTTCAGCCGTGATATGTTTTTGTGATGTTTATCATTTTAGCAAAATTTTCCTTGTTTTTAGGTTGACCATCTGTTTTATGATAAGAATTACCAAATTTTGGTACATGAATATGTTTAGTTTGTAACCAATGTTTAGCAACATCAAAATTTAATAGGATTGGCGAAGTGGGCATAGCTCAACCCATTAAGTTACTAATGGTGGAACAAACCCATCCAAGTTCGAATTCTATACGGACATGGGTACTCGTATTTACGATTATTTATTTATCACATATATAGTAGACGACGTACCCGTCGACAACGATACGCTCATGGTAGCTTCATCAATCTTAAGAAATACCGAGACGTTCGTGGTGGCTTAGCCAATCTTAAGATATGTCATTACAGTTTCTTGGAGGTGATCATAGAGGTAGGATGTGTGTTTGTGCGTTCTTAGATATGAGTGTGCGCGTGTTATGAGCATATATGTTTGTAACGTGTTTTAAAAACTTTTAATAGGATTAAAAGTGGTAATAAAGCAAACTGAACATACTCGTATATCGAACTGTCATAACTTCTAAAATTAGCTTGTACCTCGTAATTGTCGTTGTTTACACCATAAAATTCCCAAGAGAAAAGTGAATCTACACAATATGTTTACACCATAAGTTTGGAAAAAAAATCAACGCAAGTCATTTTTTCATCTTCAGTCCGAAAGTATAAGCGGATATTTTTGCAGATATTTTGTTAGACAGACAGACGAAGAAGGGAAAAGAGACAAAGCGCGCGTGAAAAAAAGAAAAGAAAAGGAGAGAAAATGTTTTAAGCTGAGAAAACAAACCCAATCCAAAGCGATAGGCAAATCACATCCATCCATCCATTGCCATTGCCACCCATGGCGCCACTCCCCGCCGCCGCCGCCGCGCCGGCCTTCCTCTTCCTCTCCCCTCCCGGCAAACTGCCCGGCGGCAAACCCAGGCTGAAACCCTCCTGTGCCGCCTCCACCTCGTCTTCGTCGTCGTCGTCACCCTCGCTCGCCGAGCAGCTGGAGCCCCTGTCCCGCAGGCTCCTCCACGGGAAGCCCACGCCCACCCAGCACGCGCCGGAGCCAACCTGGGTGAACCCCTCCAAGCCCAAGCCCACCGTCCTCTCCCTCCGCCGCCACCGCCGCCGCTCCCCTTCCTCCCACCCCTCCTCCGCCCCTCTCCAGCCGCTCCTCCGCGCCATCCGCGCCCTCCCCGACGCTGCCGACCTCGCCCCCACCCTCCACGACTTCTTCCCCCCGGCCTCGCCGCCCTCCACCTCCGACGCGCTCCTCCTCCTCAACTACCTCCACCCCTCCTGGCGCAAGTCCCTCTCCCTCCTCTGCTGGCTCCGCGCCCTCCCCGATGGCGCCTTCCCACTTGACACCATCGTCTTCAATGTCGCCCTCAAGTCCCTCCGCGCCGCCCGCCAGTGGCCCCAGGCCGAGCGCCTCGCCCTCGACATGCTCGCCTCCGGTGTCCCCCTCGACAACATCACCTACTCCACCCTCATCACCGCCGCCCGCCGCTGCCGCCAGTTCGACAAGGCCGTCGAGTGGTTCGAGCGCATGTACGCCTCCGACGGCGTCCTCCCCGACGAGGTCACCTACTCCGCCATCCTCGACGTCTACGCGCAGCTCGGCATGAAGGAGGAGGTCCTCGCGCTCTTCGACCGCGCGCGCGGCAGCGGCTGGAAGCCCGACCATGTCGCTTTCGCCGTCCTCGCCAAGATGTTCGGCGAGGCCGGCGACTACGACGGCATCCAGTTCGTCTTCAAGGAGATGCGCGAGGTAGGCATCAAGCCCAACATCTTCGTCTACAACGCGCTGCTGGAGGCGCTGGGCAAGACCGGCAAGCCAGGCCTGGCACGCAACCTGTTCGAGGAAATGACGGCCGAGGGCGTCGAGCCCAACGCGCGCACGCTCACGGCGCTCGCAAAGATCTACGGGAGGGCGCGCTGGGGGCGCGACGCGCTGCAGCTCTGGGAGCAGATGCGGGAGAAGAAGCTGCCCGCCGACAACATCCTCTGCAACACGCTTCTGAGCATGTGTGCCGACGTGGGGCTGGTGGGCGAGGCCGAGCAGCTCTTCAGCGAGATGAAGGACCCGGACCTGGGCGACGTGCCGAAGCCAGACAAGTGGAGCTACACGGCCATGATCAACATCTATGGGAGCAGCGGGGATGCGGACCGCGCACTCCAGCTGTTTGCGGAAATGGTGGAGAGCGGAATCGAGCCCAACATCATGAGCTATACCATTGTGATCCAGTGCCTGGGAAAGGCAGGGAGGATACAGGAGGCGGTGGACGTGCTAGAGGCTGGGATGGCCAAGGGCCTCAAGCCCGATGACCGACTCTGCGGGTGCCTGCTCTCCGTGGTCGCGCTGAGCAGCGGGGACGAGACGGAGGTGATTCTGGCTTGCCTGGAGAAGGTGAGGAGTAATCTGGTGAAGCTGATCAGGATGCTCGGGGATGCCCGGGTGGGAGTGGAGGACCTGAGGGTGGAGCTGAAGGGCATACTGAACAGCGCGGCCCCTGAGGTGCGGCGGCCCTACTGCAACTGCCTGATCGACATATGCCGCAACCATGGGTACCCTAGTGAGAGGGCAGTGGAGCTGTTCCGCCTCGCCCGGCACTATGGCCTGTACTCGAAGATCCATACGAGGAAGGAGGAGGAGTGGTCGCTGGACCTGCGGTCGCTGTCGGTAGGCGCGGCCAAGACGGCGTTCGACGACTGGATGAAGACCATCCGGGAACACGAGGAGGAGGAGGCTCTGCCACAGACGTTTAGCGTGTACACCGGCTCCAGCACCCACAAATTCGCGCAGGGGCTGGCGACCGCGGTGGCCTCTCATCTTGAGCAGGTGGGGGCGCCGTTCCGTGCCAGCGACTCCCAGCTTGGGAGCTTCATCAGCAGCAGGGATGATCTGCTCTCCTGGTTGCACACCACCATGTCATCGCCGGATGTTGCCGTATGATCGCCGGTTGGTTGCATCATGCAGTCTTGCAGACAGGACAGGAGGGACGACGGCCGTGCCGTCACATTAAAATGCTCGTCATTGTTTGGTTTTGGTTGGCTGCAAATTAAAATGCTCCCAAAGAATAGGATTGCGAGGAGGATGGATGGATGGTGCTGTACATGCGCAAACACTCCGGATAATTGTCATTTCTCTGCCTTTTTTATACTAGTCCAGTTTGTAGGAAGCTGGACAAGTGATAAGCAGATAAGCTAGTACTAGTGTGGTTTTCTCACCTCTTTTATTTATACTCCTACTAGATTACTCACAGTTGTTAGGGATGAGGTGAGGGCACTCTGAAGATGAGAGAGAGCTCACAGTTTATGGTTTTTGTACGACGAAATTATTATTACATATCTGGGTCTGGGTGCCAGCCGCCCGCTTCTCAAATTGTACTTGGTTGATTTTCATGTGTGGATCCATGGGGATGGTCATAGATAGGGCGCCATAGGAAGGAGTTTTGCAAGAAAAGAAAAAACAAAAACACCTTGAATTTATGGGCTGTCGAAATGTAAAAAGGCCGAGTCCACATGCAGCCCATCAGAGACGGCCCATCAAGAATCTTTTCTTACAGATGCATGATGTCCCATGCAGCCCCAACCACTCCTCCTCCTCATCGGAGGGGTTCTTCTTCCGAAATCCGAATCGATCAATCGAGCAAGGGACGGGACAGGGACGAATCGTCGCCGGAGAAGAGGAGAGGGAGAGAGAGAGAGAACAGAGGGGCAGAAGGCGAGACAAGATGATACTAGCGGTGCTCTTCTCCAACTCCGACGGCAACATCCTCATCGAGCGGTACTTACCTCCCCCATCTTCTTCTTCTCCCCTCCAAGAAAGCCCTTTTTCTCGGGGGATCTCGCCTCCTGAGGCAGATCTGCCCATCTCTTCCACGCTCCCCCGCTACCTATGGCCAACAAATTCCACCTCAACCATTTCCCTCCAAAACTAATCCATCTCTACTCCCCGTACTTACCGCTGATAGAAACTGATTTATCACTTGCGGGTTGGTAAACGTTTGCAGCTTCCATGGTGTTCCCGCGGAGGAAAGGCTGCACTGGCGTTCTTTCCTCGTCAAGCTTGGCGCCGACAACCTCAAGGGGGCCAAGAACGAGGAGCTCCTCGTTGCCTCTCACAAGTATCTACTTTTCCCCTTTAGCTCACTGATTGATTGATTGATTATTCTACTCTAGCTTAAGTTCTCCAGTAAGTTGGTACCACCAAATGGATCTTCAAGATTTACCAATTGTTCAGGCCCTTTTTTTTATTCGATCCCTGGTTAACATCAATATTACCTGGTTCATGTCTTTTGGCCATAACTGCCCAGTAGCAATATTGTGTTAAGATCGCTCCCTGATGTGCCAATGTTAATCTTATTCCTATCCCGTACAAATCTATTTTCGGAAAATTCATTCATTCATTCATCTCCTAAATTCGCTCTCCAGTTTGCCACCATTCTGAGCATCAACTTGATGCTCCTCTGTTTTTTTTTAAAAAAAAAAATCTTCTGAATGAAACAGCAGGACTGCTATTTGGTTACATTGGTGAGGAAATAAACGTTCCAAAATTACAACAAAAATGCCCAGGGGCCAAAAGAAAAGGAGAGACAACTTACCAGTTATAGTAGATAATGAACCTGGAACTGCAGGTCGTGATGCTGAATGTGTAGAATTAACCTCCTTCAGTCATCCTTAAGCTTGACCATGTGTTATACAGTAAGTGTAGTAGAGCATATCCACTGATCATTAATCAGATCCCATGGTTGCCTTGAGTTTTGTTTTTACTGTATGCTGTCCTTCTGAATCATGCTTGTCATCTCCTACAAATCCTTTGCTCATCTGAAATAGAACATTTCCCTCTATCGCTGCTATTTACTATTGGGTTTTTTTTCAGGTCCGTCTCTATTGTTTATACAATGATTGGGGATGTCTGCCTGTACATTGTTGGCAAGGATGAATATGATGAGCTTGCTCGTGAGTGTCGTCAAGCTTATGAATTATGATATTCCTTTCCTTATGTAAAAGTTACTAATCTAGTTTGAACGCCTTCTACTTCCACATCAATTGTACTCATGGTTGGTGATTATTGTCTGTAGTGGCCGAGGTGATATTTGCAATCACATCGGCAGTGAAGGATGTATGTGGGAAACCGCCTACGGAGAGGCTCTTCCTTGACAAATACGGGAGGATCTGCTTGTGCCTTGATGAGATTGTTTGGAAGGTACAGCTTGGGGTTGATCTTCTAGTGTGTGAAGTTGTTTCCCCCATTTTCTGTGATCTACTCTAGTACCTGAGAGCTTGATGATATATATATTGCACGTTGTTGATGCAGGGTCTGCTGGAGAACACGGAGAAGGACAGAGTCCGGAGGTTGATCAGGCTAAAGCCGCCCGTTGAGCCATGATTTTTTGATCACTTTGGAATATGTGTGTATCCTTCTCGTCGTGTAATCATATCTCTCGCAGTTTATTTGCTGGCAGTTGTTTTTTTATTCCCTTTGGGATGGATGATTCTGTATGTGTACAATCCTAATACATTTTGCCACTGATGATTTGTACTGTTACACTACTCTCCGTGTCCATGGATGGAAGGATTGCAGTTTGGCAATATGCTGCATTGCTGCTGCGCTTTTGGTTTCGGTCATTGCTACGGTATGCTCTGCTTTAAGTGAATTTGAATATTTGATGAAGCAAAAAATGAGTAATCACCATGATTATTACATACATCGTTGAATTTGATGAAATGGCAAGGCAACCTGTGCCTTTGAGGGAAAAAAAGCAATGGCGACCACGTCGCCTGAGCTCCTTCCAAAGCAAGCACCACATCTATAATAAGACATTAATTATATTATATTATGAAAATATAAAACTTGGAGATGTTTTCATTAAATTTTTTTTACGTTATCCGTGTTTAAGTTGATTGTACGTCCCCAACCCCTCCTTCTCCTAACCCAATCTAACCAGCCTACACCATCACGCCCTCCTCTCCAATCACCTCTATTTCATCACAATTGGTAAAGTTTTTATGAATCACAAAAATTGTCTTCACCTCATGTAACCCAAAGGCATTTTTGCTAGTTAATAAGAAAAAAAAGAAGAAAGGGTCAAAAGCAAGCGTGAGGGGGGTGAATCTCACTATAAAAAGAAATTTCCATTCGTAGCACAAAACTTAACCAAATTTAAAAACAGGGCAATAAATAAAATTTCAGGGCGCGAAGAAAATACCATATATATGTATCTAAACCTTCCATCTCAAAATTATTTATATTCTTTAAAATCAAAATAGATACTATTAGGTGGTGTTTGGATGCAGGGACTTAACTTTAGTCCCTATATTTAGATACTAATTTAGAGTATTAAATATAGACTACTTACAAAACTAATTACATAAAAGAAAGCTAATTCACGAGATAAATTTTTTAAGTCTAATTAATCCATAATTAGAGAATGTTTACTGTAGCATCACATAGGTTAATCATGGATTAATTAGGCTCAATAGATTCGTCTCGCGAATCAGTGGATGTGTTTTATTAATAGTCTACGTTTAATATTTATAATTAGTGTCCAAACATCTGATGTGATATGGACTTAAAAGTTTTAGTCACATCTAAACAGGGTCTTAGTAAAGAGAAATTCCTCTTGTGTGGTGTGTAGTAAATCCCTCCCTTTGTTTTTTTGGGTTAATTAGATCCATGCCATTAAAAATATACTAGTTTTGAAATATACCACTAGTATTCAAGTATTTGGTACCATGCCATTATAATTTTACACATATTTGAGACATGTCACTATTTACCCCTTAGATATATTTTAAGAAAAGATTGGACAAAATTGCCCTTCTTCTTCTTTCCTCCTCTTCTTCTCCCTTCTCTTCCTGTTCGATGCAGCGGGGAGCGGTGGAGCGGCGGCGGCGGAGTGAGCGGCGAGAGGCGGCAGCAGCTGCTACTGCGCGGCGGCGCGGCAGTAGCAGCAGCGGCGCGCAAGTGTGGCGGCGCGGCGGCGGAGCAAGATTCTTGTGGCCGCTGCTGAAGATAGGAGAGAGAGGTATGGCCTGTTCACTTTGATGCCAAAAAAAACCTTACCAAATTTTGGCATTACCAAAATTTTTGCCAAAATTTTGGCAGGATTTCTTATATAGTTACCAAAATTTGGCAGCAAACTAAATATAGTCACTTTTTGGTAACTTTATCAAAATTTGGTAATGTTAAAAATAACATCAAAGTGAACAGGCCCGTAAAAGATAGATGAGAGATAGAGAGAGGTAGAAGATGAGGGTATTTTTATCCAATACATATAAAATACGCATCTTAGTGGCATCTTTAAGATTGTAAACAAATAGTATAGTAGTGGCATCGTTACAAATACACAAATAGTAATGGTATATTTCAAAGCATATACCTAATTAACCCTTTTTTTTAGAAAATTGGAACCATGCCATTATAATTTTGCAAAATTTGAGATATGCCATCCTGACCCACATGTCATTTACTCATGTGGGTCCTACATGTCATTGAGATACTGATGGCATATGTCAAACTTTGCAAAATTATAATGGCATGGTTCCAATTTACCTTCTTCTTTTTTTTTAGAAGTTCCAGTGTTGCAGCCAAGTCGGAAGTCGCCATTCGTCTTCTCTCTCTCTCTCTCCGCGCCGGCAAAGCGGCCGGTGGCGGCGCCGACGAGTCAGCAAGCGGCAGCGCGGAAGTCGACGGCCGCGAGAGTGGGAGGCGGCCGGTCGGTGATCGAGTGCGGAAGTCTTGGTGAAGGCCCACCGCGTCGCGTCCGTGTCCTCCTCGAGCCGCGTCGTCGTCGACCTCCTTCAATTCCCTCATGGCTCGCAACAAGGTAACCTCGCTCGCTCGTTCGCACCTCCTCGTCCTCCATGATTTGCACTCCAACTCCAACGCCACCCTTCCTAAACCCTATCTATACCCTCCTCCTCCGTCCCCTTCAAATAAAATAAAGGTTTTATCCCCCCATTCCTAGGGTTTTTGGGACAGTAATAATTTACTTCGCATTCGATTGTTGTGATTTAGTATCTATTTACATCCATCTTCACATTAACCTATCTGCATTCCTCTCCTTCCGCTGCACCATGCACTTGTTGTTAGGAAGTATCCTGATTTTACATTTTCGACTTGCACACCGTGATACCAAAATCTAATGAAAAAAAAAATAAAAACCAGAAATCAAACCCATGATACTGATCCCCCCCCCCCGTCCCTGTGATTCTGCGTGTTTGACAAAAATAAAAAGAGAAGAAAAAACCAATATGCAAGACCATTTCTGGTAGCACTTTTTATTGCCAATCAATTATATTTTTTTTAATGTAGGAAGCATTGGTTTTGCTATTGGATGTTGGCCCATCCATGCATGGCGTTCTGCAAGAAGTTGAGAATATCTGCTCCACCCTTGTGCATAAGAAGGCAAGCACACACTATTTCCATTTTAACTTCCCAGATGCAAATGCTACTACCTGGCCACCTGCAATTCATCATAACTTGTAACCAATCAGCCTCAAGCTAACCCCCCTGCCTTTTCCCCCCTCTCTGCAGCTAGTTTATAATAGGAGTGATGAGATCGGTGTTGTCCTTTTTGGAACTAAAGGTATTGTTGCAAGCAAATGTTTAACTAAAATTTTGTTTGCACTTCAAATGTTCTGTGTTGTTTTTTATTAGCTTCATTGAACAAGCATATATGATTCACAATGGAAAAGGATAAAGACATAGTTATATTAAACAAGTATGTGATTAACAACAGTGAAGGATCAGACAAGTTAATGTTTCTTCTCTCACACATCTAGTCTAGTTAAACACTTCTTCTCAAGTTGCTATGAACGATAGATCTACTTAGACACCAACGTTTGCATTGTTTTGCTGCAAATTTGAGAACCATGCATGAACATTGTTTGGGTCACATATTTCTTGCTTCAAAAGTTCCTTGGGCTGCTTGATTTATGTTTATATGTGCAGAAACAAGCAACGAACTCGCCAAGGAGCTTGGGGGCTATAAGCATGTGGTGGTTGCTCGTGATATTAAAGTTGTTGATGAAGAAACAACAAATGCTCTGCAAAACCTTCCAAGGGGAACTTCCCCTGGTGACTGTATCCACAAGTAGCACTGTATGCTGATGTTTGGTTTATAGTTATTGTTAACTAGACATCCGTTACTAGATTTGCCATAACTACTACTATCAGCACACGACACCTATTTGATCTTTCATTTTATGAGGCATTTTTTTTGTCTTGCCCTGCTGCCTGCATTTGCATGTTGCTAGATCATATCTATGGTGTAGGAGCTCAAATTAGTATTTCTCAGTCCATTATCCTTAAGTGTTTGCATTTTGGGGGACTTCTTTGTTGTGATACTGCCATCCATATTCAGCATCCGGCTCTTCATATAGTAGCTCCTGCTTATGGATTTGTGCTTGTTTCATCTTCTTTTTTTTCCCTGTCTTTAAGTCATATAGTTTCTTTGTTTTACATCATAATAGCGTTGTTTGAACTTGCTCTGTACTCTTCTCGAGTTTGATCGGAATCAGATACTGGAATTCCTTGACTAAGGCAAGTTTTGGATGCTATTGTTGTTGGTTTGGATATGCTGATAAGAAAATTTGGAAATATCAAAGGAAAACAGCGTATGTGTCTAGTCACTGATGCACAACATCCATTAAGAGATCCACCCCAAGGGACAAAAAAGGATCAGGTGGACACTATTGCAGACCAGATGAAAAGACACGAAATCAAGATGGACTGCATTATTTTCAGAGAATCTGGAGTTCGTCACAATGCTGTAATGGATGAAAACGACCAATTATTATACCACTTCAGAGAGAGGTCAGTAACAAAGGTAGTTCATGTTGACAGCCCAACGTCACTCTTAGGTGCTCTCAGGACTAGAAATGTACTTCCAGTTACTGTCTTCAGGGGAGACTTGGAAGTGAGCTCTAGCTTTAAAATAAAGGTGGGGTGTTGTTTTCTTAAATTCATGTAATGTTTTTTTTTTCAGTTAGAGAAATTTATATTAATTCTGGTTCAGTTTGCAATTTGGTCTGACGTCTTTGTGAACAGGTGTGGGTCTATAAGAAAACATCTGAGGAGAAATTCCCCACTTTGAAGAAGTATTCTGATAAGGCTCCTGCAAGTGATAAATTTGCATCTCATGAAGTCAAAGTGGATTATGAGTACAAAAGTGTTCTAGAACCAGACACAGTCGTTCCACCAGATCAAAGAATTAAAGGATATCTTTATGGTCCACAAGTTGTTCCTATATCATCCGCTGAATGGGAAGCTGTCAAGTTCAAACCTGAGAAAGGTGTGAAGCTTCTAGGTTTTACAGATAGATCCAGCATATCTCGGTAACCCATATCCTTCAACCTTTTATTTGGAATAAGATTATGTTCTTTGGACCTTGTGGTCTTGTATTCACTGATGCCATTTCTACATTTAATTTCATGATTATTTCAAGTTGTTTGAGGTAACTTGTTTGAAGACATAGCAAACCAATCCATGTGAACATTCAAGCATGAATAGTTAGTTTATGTACTTTATATCATTGGAGATTGAGCTGATACTATGAAACAAAACATTATAAAATAAATTCTTGCTCTAGCTGATTACCTGATCCTTGCAATTATGCCTAATATAAATGTTTAAAGAGTACATGTTTCGTGTTATGTGGTGTTGCATTTGAGTTTAAGCTGTAGGTTATCATTTATCATGTTATAAAACCCCTTGGGATGAATATGTTGCAAGCTGGAATTGGTGAATGGTTTATGCATGAAAACAATACATGAATGCAGTGCTCTGATTCGATCAATCAATCATAAATCCTTGCACGTAAAGTTTATGTTTTTATGTATAGATTACAGAACTCAGATCTGTACTGGGTCAAACTTCTGTTTATCCCTAAGGACTGCCAGGGGGTTCAGCTTATACAAAAGCTAATATAAAATTTCTTTTCTGAAAGTATCTCATTTCCAAAATTTGTAAAGATAAATTGCTGTAAACATGTTTATAAGTTTAATATTAAATGTCTTTACTATATTGCAGTTTTAAGACCAGATGTTAGTAACGGTGACACAGTCCACCTTTTTTACTTTAACAGGCACTATTTTATGAAAGATGTGTTCTCCTTTGTTCCGGAACCAGGAAACACAAAAGCAGTTGCTGCCGTTTCTGCCTTAGCTAGAGCAATGAGTGAAATGAACAAGGTTGCAATTTTACGATGCGTGTGGAGGCAAGGTCAAGGGAATGTTGCTTTGGGTGTATTGACACCAAACATATCATCAGCAAAAAATGTTGTATGTACTTTATTTACTCACACCTTATACCTGTAGGATTCGTCTGATGATTGCATATGTTCAAGCAATTCTTTTTTTTTCCTTTTCCCTGCAGCTGGATTCCTTTTACTTCAATATACTTCCATTTGCTGAGGACATCAGAGAGTTTCAGTTTCGGTCCTTCAGCAGCCTGCCATCATCATCTCAGCCTACCAAGGAACAGCAGGAAGCTGCAGATAACCTGGTAAAGATGTTAGATCTTGCACCACCTGGAAGGGAAGAGATCCTTAAGCCTGATTTCACTCCGAATCCCATGTTGGAGGTGCTATTCTTCCTTCAGAATATTGCTATTTATCAAAACCAATTTAGATATTCTGATATTTTTTTCTCATATTATATACCTTAAGCTATTTTTCCTCTTCTTTTCACTTTTTCATTGGAGTATGCTCTGCAAAGGTTCTTGTATGTATTTGTTTTGCTTCTAAGTTTACTAATAGGTTCTAGATCACTTGACATTTTTCTTTTAATGCTCCTTTTGTGCATATTCTTTATTCTGTTGACTAAGGTTCACTTGCCACTTCCCCCTTTAGAGATTCTACAGGTACCTTGATCTCAAGTCAAAGCAGCCGGATGCAAATGTCCCACCCCTCGACAAATGTCTAAAGAAGATAACTGAACCTGATCCTGATGTCATTGATTATCAAGCACCGCTAATAAAAAAATTAGGCAATGTATTTGAGCTGAAGGAGAACCCCAAGGTTAGAAATATTGCTAACGTATTTGTGTTATTGACTTGATACTGTAATTTTGGGGAACCATAAATCTGTTTGGACTGATCACAGAAAAAGAAAGCACGGACACAGGACAGATTGACTTATACTGGCGCAGACGATCAGGCTAAATTATTAGAAGAACCTTCTGCAGAGAAGGTTGGGGTTTCGGAAGCTTTATATCCTCCAAAAAAGAAGGCTGGGGAGATTGGCGATCATAATCCTGTTCAAGATTTTGAAGCCATGCTGACACAGAGATCTAGCTCAACGTGGGTTCAGACGGCAATTGAAGAGATGCAGAAGTACATAACCGCTTTAATACAGGATTCCTGTGATCGGGATAATCACCAAAAGGCACTGGAGTGCCTTGTTGCTTTACGGAAGGCCTGCATTATTGAACAGGTAATCTCTCCTATGGTTATTTTCATTTGATTGCATGGTAGTTAGATGTAATCCATGCCCCTTATTTTGCTGCGAGACCTCATGTATAGTTTAAACATGCTTGCTCAGTTGTAACTTAGGTGTTGTTTTCCATTATAGGAACCAAACGAATACAATGGATTCGTAACAAAGCTCTGTCAGAAATTTAGGCCGGCTGGTGATAAAATTTTTTTGCAGCTTCTTTCGTCCAAGAAAGCTTCGCTTATAAGCAAAGAAGAAGCACCTGATAGGTAAGGGAACCTCCATATGTGCTGTAGAAAATTCTATGTGCATTGTTTTCTCTCAGTTTTTGCCATTTAATTACCCTATTCTATATGCATGTAGCGATGTGACGGAAGAGATGGCGAGAAACTTCTGTCTGAAACCCGAGCCGTCCTCTCAGTAGCCGAGACTGCAGGCATGGATGTGGATGGCTTTGAGTTCTGAAGGCCTGGAAGCTAGGTAAAAGAGGAACTGGAAGACATCGAACGGCCCTAGTACTAATTTCTAACGTACGCCTGGTTAAAATGTTATGTAGCTCGGTTTTTGGAAAGCTCTGTGTCATGTGAGTGATGAGCAACACGAGCTACTATTGTTTTCGAATGGATATGTATGTTGGGATGGAAAAATCCCAGATGAAATGTAAAAGACTTGCAGTTTGAGATGTCCCAAGCTCCAAGACTTCAATTCCTCACCTCCAGAAGCTCTGAACTTAAAATTCAGCGTTTCTGCGGCCGATATCAGCATTCTTTGCGTGACATAGGGAACACACTCTGGCGATCAGCCTCAGGGTCAGGGAAAGAACACTTACTCATTCCCAGCCTTTATTCAAAATCTGTGAAACAAACAAAACACGCACAAATCCCTGCAGAGACTCACTAGATTCAACAAGAGATTCATCGGCATTCATAGCCTGTAAACTACAATTTGTATTTTGTAGTAGTACAACAAACTGAGCTTTGGCAACAGCTAATTAGGCGTCCTTCTCTGCCACAAGCTTGTCGATAAGCACAGCAGCATCCTCCACTGTCTGAATCACTTGCGCACTCGATTCGTCCACGGTAATCTGAAATGCCTCCTCAAGGCCCATCACAATTTCAACCTAAAACCAATCAAAACACACATAAAGAGTAATCAGAGGCATCATGGCTGCAGGCAGCAAATACTAAATTCCTGAGATTTTCATAAGAAAGAAAAAGGCGCCACATTCCTGGGATAAAAGAGAATAATAAGCTAGATCCTGGGAAAAGAGAGCACAAAGCTAGATATGGAATTGATTCTTCATTCCACTATGAACGGAGAATAAATTCATTTATACAATGACTAAATATAAAAAGGTGTACAATTGCCGCATCTGCGAAAAATGTATTGTTGAGAGCAACAACAACATGCCAGGAGAGATGTTGACTAGAATAATTTTTAATACTAATCTGAGCCGTGACAAATATCAGAGATCACTGTGGACTTTCAACAAGAAAGTATGAGGTTGCCAAGAAAAGGGCTAGTTGAGAGGAGTCTTACAGTCCCCTTTAAAAAAAATCAATAAAGTAGTCCAGGTGATTTAGATAGTGTTGAATTATTACATTAGTCCAGAAGATTACCGTGTCAAGTGAATCAGCACCAAGGTCCACGAATTTTGTTTCTCCAGAAACGGCAGTGCCTTCATCTACTGCTAACTGATTCTTAACTATTTCGCAAACCTTATCAATAGTGTCTTGTTTGGCCTGTTCAATAATGTAAAATAAATCATCAAGCAGAGTCTTTGAAAATATCCTGCATAAATTTTCATGAACATATTGTAATAATATAAACTGCTACCCACAGCAATTACAGCATGGGACCAAAATTAGGCTCAATAAAGTGGAAATACTGCATGCTTTAAGTAAATATGAACAGGACTAAGCAATCAAGGTAGCAGGGTAACACACTGAAAATCTGCAAGCAGCCAAGCAGTTTGGAAAATTCATCAGGAGTAACCGATTCTATAGCCATCGTGAGTGGGCAGTTCTCTTGCAAGCTAGGATAATTTCACTGTCGAATGCATCTTTCTAGTTCTTAAAACTGATTGTGAATTTTTTTTCAAAACCATTCCTCCTGCCATAAATTGTTTGCTATGCTGTCACTGTAAATCTTTAACCGGTAACATAGTTCTTTTTCTAAAAAAAAAAACTCATACAACATAAAACATTGGCATCATAGTCAGTAATGTACCAGGGCAGCAGTGTAGGAAAACTAATGAGGAACACTATATTACCATCACCAATAATTTTCTTTATCCCCTTGCACCAAGTAAAAGGAATGTAAGATGCAGTAGGTGATGGCATGATACATCAAAACATAGTGAAAGTTCTTGGCATTGTATGGTGTGTGTGAGAATTTCTTATGGTGGTTTCGGCAAACTACTTTGTTGGTGAACGTATAAGAGAAGAAGAAAGATTGCAGTGAAGCAATAATTTCATTGGTTGACTGAACTAACATGTATATTAACATCTGGAGTGGAAATCAAAACTACATTTAGCATCAGAAAGTAATTGCAGTTCAGTTGATTATCCACATGGCAGAAATGTGCATTCCAACTCTGTTGGAGGCATCACGCACTTGCATTGAGCTTAGAAGTTAGGCATGACTGTACAGTAGAGTGCAAATTCCAATGGTGGAGGTAGCAAAGAACATGACAGTGATATTACATACATACCGAACAAGACAAGGCCTGGAAGCGACTTGGGACCGGGCGCAACCGAATGGACGGGAAGCTTGCTGTTTGCCTGGAGAAAGAAGCTGAGGTTGGATTGAGCATTGAGCACATCACCTGTATGTGTATGTAAGGAATATGAACACAATTAAAAGGGGGGCAAGCTTGCTTGAAAAAAGAAAAAAAAAGGAAGAGCGGCACAAATTGAAGAAGTAGCTAGCCAAGAAATGAAGCTGGGGGGTGACCTAGTATACCTGAACCCGAGACGCAGGGGAGAGAGGCGATGTGGCGGCGGTGATGGGAGCAGCCATCGTTGGCGCGCGGGAGGACGATGACAGGGGGCGGGCGGCGGAGAGTGCGAAGAAGATGGACAAGAGGAGAGGAGATGGAAGAATCTTATTGCTAAGCTTTTTGCCTCGTTTGTATCGACGGCCGTGCAACTTAGGATGCGCATCACCATTTCCGGCCTATTTTTTTTGTCCTATTCCGACATTATCATGGGAGATCCCACAAAAATGGGATGCAAACGAGGAACACTCTCTCTTGTGATCACCATCACCACTACTCACCCATCTTCATTTCCACCATCAGATTGTGTTACTCACCTTTTTTTTTCCTTCTATATTGTCCGTGACGATCAAAAAAACAAAAATTACTCAAAAATAGAATACATACTAATTACCTAATTATTAATCCATATACTAATTAATATGATCTAATTTTATTAGAATTGGATAATCTACCGGAGTCCTGTTATCCAGAAGATTATAATGTTTGAAGGCATATATTCCTTCCATTCAATATTTCTTTTTCCCCAATAACATCAAAGATACACAATGACATAGCTCCTTTGAAATTTGGAGACCCGTGTGAAATCATAGCCGAGCCGTAAACTTAAATGATAAAATAATAATAATTTACATTAGTCCATGGTTATTTTATAGCTCCTTCCTAGTATTGGATTACACCTTTTATTTTCTCTATGGTTTTACCTTTTCACAACCAGAGTGACATTTTTCTGATCCAATTTTTAGAAAACAAATGGCTTGAAAGTTGAATATTATATACATGATGAAAATAATAAAATTGGAATTTAGGAAATGAAATTACATTATAAGAACAAAGTTCACGTTTACCTGATGAGATGATGGCCGATAGAATGAGACTATATAAGAACTTAATCATGCAGGTGGTGAGAGCCTATGGCTATAGTAGTGCAACCTCACCTTCATACGACCGGTGGCAGGCGCGAGGCTGCAAGGTGTGAACCAACATTGCAGAGCATTTCGGTCGAGACAATGGTGAGCTAGTAGTCCAGTCAAACGTCAAGATTCGAGAAAAGAAAGCAAAACGATGTTGGGCGAATACTCCATGACTCTCACGCCTACTTGCGCCATGGGCCGAGCAGCCTAGAAGCGCTTGATCGACCTAACTACTTGGGTCTTGGGCCTCCCGTGCACGATGGTGTTTGGGGACCCTAGATATTGGGATTGTGAACAGCCGCTCAGCTCGATTCCCTGGGACGGTCCTGCACGTACACAGTTATGAGTATGTCCTATTAATACATGTTTAAATATTTTGACTCCATTAGCTAAAGTTTACTCTTTTATCAATTCTATTAGTTTTAGTTAAAATTAGGAAATGGTACTTTACTTGTGATAATAAGCGACAACCCATTATTAAACAAAGTGAGAAAAATGTTTGTTATATCTCTAGAGCCTAGACTATGTTGGAGGCAATTTTTTATAGAGTGGTGTATTTTGTAATGATGGCTAACTAATAATTGGAAGTCTATGGTTTTTAATTTTAGTTTCCTTTTTTTAAAAAAATAAATTGATTAGTTCTCTGTAGGCATGAAAAACAACCAAACTAAAATTGAAAACTCTACTTGTTTAACTATGGTCCTTGAAAGGTATTGAATGAACAGTGTTCCTTACCTTAAGGTATATATGGGTGTATATAGGAGTATCTTACAATAGACATATTGCACTTTACGTCGACACAAACTAACTCCAATTCTCAAGTAAAAAAAACTCATTTACCAATGACATAGGATAGTTTAAAAGTTATCAATCCTTCCACAAGAATATCTTAACATGGTTGACCGGCTTCCATACTACTTAGTGAGTAGTAAACTCAACATATTTGTTCCCATCATCCTAACTTTTAGCGGTACCAGGTAAATAAGCACAAAATAAAGAAAAATGATCATGTCATCAATTTCTCTAAGACATTTTCCTATACCTCTAATACATGCTCTAGTACTGTTATAATTGATATGTTGTTTGGCTACGTCTTCTTAATATACGGTGTCATTTGTATTCTTCTGCACGTTTTTGTTGTCCTATTAGTCCCTTCCCGCCTATATATTATTTATCTTTGAGTAGAAGAACATGCTCTACTATGCATTTAATAGGTGCTATTTTCGCCAAGTATAATTAAATACGTTCTAGTTTTGTATTAAATAGTATGTCAGACGATTTTGCCGCTCTTGCATGCACGCTACGTATCTACTATAGTCTTATCATCAGTGTATAAGTGACCCATTTTACTGCTGTTGCATGCACAACTTATATAACAAACAACTAATTGGATTTATTTATAGTGTATATAAAACTAAAAATATCTGTATGAAAGTTTTGATTGGAAAAAAAAACAATACTAATACGAATGGATGGAGAATACAAGTGGTGGTATTGGAGGTGGCAGGCAGCAGAGCACACAGGATGGGGGTGTTGCGGGCGCAGAAGATCCGTAGATAGATAGGCCTCCCCTCATTTTCAACCCTCGGAAGGGAAGCCTCCTTTGTTTTTTTTTTTCCCTTCTTGTTCATTTCTCTCTTGCTCCGGCTCGCCTCGCATCGCCTCTTCCTCCTCTTCCCTCATCGCGTTCGCGTTTCCATCCCCATCTCCATCTCCTCCTCCTCGCCGCATTCGCATCTCCCTCCTCTCGCCGCCGCCGCCACCGCCACCGCCGCCGCTCCCTTCCTGCCATTACCGCCCGTGCCCCTCACCCCCCTTTGCCCCTCGATCTCTCCCCCCTAGGGTAGGGTAGGGGCTTGCCTCCGATTCCGTACGGACACACCCTACCTAGGGTAGGGTAGGGGTAGGGGTAGGGTTGATAGAGAGAGGTTCCGGGATGACGGCCGGCGAGGGCTGCGCGGCCCGACGCGGGTGATCCGCTCTCACGCGGGGAGCCCCTCTCGCGCGCGCTTGCTTCACGTGGGGGATCCCGTCGCGGCTATCCCTCCTCTCCTCTCTTCTTCCCCCTTCTAGTCTAGTTTAGGGTTTTCTATCTATCCATCTAGATTTTGATCTTCCCCTCCTCGCTGCTTCCCCTCGCCCTTCTGACCTGGCGCAGATGTTTTCCCACGGCGCTGATTCCGCCCACGACGCCGGCGCCGTCAGCACCGGTGCCTCCGGCGTCCCCACGCGCTTCGTCTGGCCCTACGGTGGCAAGAGGGTCTACCTCACCGGCTCCTTTACCAGGTTTGCATCTCTTCTTCTTCTTCTTCTTCTTCTTTTTTTACCTTATCTTCTAATAAATGGAGTATATCCTATACCATACCTATCTTATTATTACCACTCTTTACCTTCCACTTGTGCTACTCTTGTTTATCTCCCACCCTACCCTAGCGATCAGACTGCTGATTTGGGAATACTTCAAAACCTCTTCAACTGTACTAGCTCTAGCGCGCCATGTAGCTTGCGCCCCATCGCATGCCGTGCCCTTGTTTCATTTCATTTCATCCAACTATACTGCATTGATACAATTCCTGCTTTATATTTACTATGTCACTGTGTCGTATGTGCATACACCAGTTGATTCCATTCTTTTGTTTTCTCCCCTGTATATGGTGGATATGCTATCATCATGATTTATTTACTTGCTATGTGCCCTTGCCTTCGTTTAGGACGATTATAAACCATGCATACGCTGACACGCTTCTAAAGAAAAGTTAACACGACTCCTTTTTAATTGCACATGGCCTTCATATTCTTTTACGTGGATCGGTTAAATTTTTTACATAGTTTTAACACTAGTTAGCTTTACGCTATGTATATAGGCCATCTTACAACTTTCTGTGTTGAATTTTTATTTTGGAGACTAAATAAGAAAGTAATAATATGTGTTAGTTCTAACGTGTATTGAAAGAACTTCAGGCATTATTAGTAAAAAATATGGTGTAAAGCTGGCGAGGGGTGGCAGATTCACTGCTACCATCATTTGCCCAATATTAAAAGTTGCTGTGACGTGTATAATGCATTCTCTGGTCAACATATACATGATGTCTCCTGACGTCATGCACTATAGGGTCCTCGCATGGCATGCTGGCTTAGGTATTAGCTTGGATACGTTTAAACATGAATTTTTCAGTATGTTGGCTTAGGTATTAGCTTGGATACGTTTAAACATGAATTTTTCAGTTTTATTTCCTGTTAAATACATGCCATGTGTTCTTTTTACACACCTAATGGCCCTAATTTTTCTTAGGTGGACAGAACATTTGCCAATGTCTCCTGTTGAAGGTTGTCCCACCGTTTTTCAGGCCATATGCAGTTTGTCCCCTGGGATTCATCAGGTGCCCTTTTTATCCCAAAGTTTATCATAGTTGTCTTAGACTAGCTTTGCTACCCAATAAATTATGTTCTTGTGATGCAACATCTAATGTGTGAACATTCTTTTAAATCATTGATATTCAGTACAAGTTTTGTGTGGATGGGGAATGGCGGCACGATGAGCGGCAACCTACCATAACAGGAGACTATGGTGTGGTTAACACTTTATGCTTGACTAGGGACTTTGACCAGATAAATACAATATTGAGCCCTAGTACACCTGGAAGTAGGATGAACATGGATGTGGACAACGACAATTTTCAACGTACTGTAAGTGCCACTTATCTTGTTTTGAAATTTGAAAATACTTGATAGGATAGCTGCTATTTTCACAGTTGCGAGCAAACAGTGACACTGTGGTATACTTGTTGCCGCAATTTATCTCTGGGTTGATAATAATGTAGGGGTAGTATGCTTCTGAAGCATACCATGTTGGGCAGATACAATAATACAACACACTTTAATAGCATTACAAAGGTCACACAAATTGGAAAATAACATCTAGCCCCATGCCCCATCTGTCAGCGCATTTGATGCTACCTGCGAATTTATACATCTTTTCGGTGTTACTGAGCAAAGTGTGATCATTGAATGCTGGGAGAAGGGGTGGAGTTGTAATTATCAGCACCTGTGTGCAAAATACAAATGTTCTCTCCTCTATTGGAAAATTTATTTATAGGAAAGCGATACAAGCTGAGTAGCTGATACATTTATTTTTATCTTCACTAAAAAGTTCATGTGTGTGATACATTTATTTTTATCTTCACTAAAAAGTTCATGTGTGTGATACATTTCTTTTTATCTTCACTAAAAAGTTCACGTGTGTGATACATTTCTTTTTATCTTCACTAAAAAGTTCATGTGTGTGATACATTTATTTTTATCTTCACTACAATGTTCATGTGTGTGATACATTTCTTTTTATCTTCACTAAAAAGTTCATGTGTGTGATACATTTATTTTTATCTTCACTAAAATGTTCGTGTGCGCAATACATTTCTTTTTATCTTCACTAACAAGGTCATGTGTGTTTATAATGCTTCCTATTTGTTTAGTTTTGCCTTTTGCTTTTTTCACCTTTCTTTCTAGAAGCTAAATATAATATAAACAACTTTTCTTGTTTTCTTCAAGCAGGTTTCTTTGTCTGATGGCATTATTCAGGAAGGTCCTCAGAGAATTTCAGAGGCAGCTATACAGATCTCTAGGTGTCGTGTAGCGGATTTTCTGAATGGACAAACTGGGTATGATTTACTCCCAGATTCTGGCAAGGTATGGAAAATGAGCTCGTCTTGTATGAATTTTAGTGCTCTAATGGTTATTCTTATTACATTATATTTACAATTCAGGTCATTGCTCTAGACGTTAATTTGCCTGTGAAGCAATCTTTTCATATTCTTCATGAACAGGTGACTATGCCTTCTTCTGCTAGTTTCCCTCCAATCTTTCATTCTTCTTCTGCTCTGTAGCCTGTTTCCCTCCAATCTTTCATTAGTTGTTCTGACATTGAACTAGTGATATTTTGCTTTGATCTGTAAATATAGTGGAATAGGTACATACCTTTTTAGTAAATATGTTGGCCTGTTGTTGCGTACAATGTTTGGTTTCATTGGCAGCTTCAATTCATCTGAGATTGCATGAAAATGGAAACACTGCAGCCTCATGCCTTAAAAGTTGCAGCTACTTCACCTACTTCACACTTCTTGTACAACCCAATGTTGCATCCTTCCTCTTGTACACATCACCTAGAATGCATGTGGTCAACCTTTAAAAGCTTGAAAGAGCACTATATATGTAAAAACATTCACTTTAATTTATTAATCGATACATCATCAATGGGGTCTAATTTTTGTTAAGATTTGATTAGAGCAAGTAATTGTCAAGGGTGATGATTGATGTGTCAGACATCCAATACAACAATTAGAAGAGGTTGGAGGAAGTAGGTTCTATTCTGTTTGCACTCCACAATTTCCATATAGGTTATAAGAAAGTTCAGCTCTGTGCTTTCTTAGCTGCCATCTTGATTCTGATTTAATTATTTTTGGCATCTTGATATAACTGGAAATTTCATAGTTTCTTTAACCATATATATTGAAGTACAAGAAATATTGGCTGGTTTTGGGAACATACATTAAATAAATAGTGTACCTTGCAGGGAATTCCTGTGGCACCTCTATGGGATTCATTCAGGGGCCAGTTTGTTGGCCTTTTGAGCCCACTGGATTTTATACTCATATTGAGAGAGGTAATTTATTCTGTCACTTACTGTTTGGTGTTAGTATTCTTTAATTATTTTTTTATGTGTCATTGTTGTTCTCTATTGTATATTTTTTATTGTTACAAGTGATGGTTTAATGTTCATTTCAAATATGCTGCCACTTTTAGTGGCCCTGCAAAACGAAATTGCGCAATTCTTGTTTTTTTTTTTTAAAAAAATCTGAAGCAGTGTAATATCATTCTTTGACAGTATTAAGTTATTGACCTAGAAGCTTATTTCACATGAATTATAAAGACGACTGGTTCATTAATGGAATGTGGGAGTCTATGCATTTGAACAATGTACCTGCTTGTAATCCCGATTCTGCTGTATCACTTAGTAACCATGCATCTCATGGAACTTTGTTTGGGTGACCACAAGAAGTTCAGCCAAGATAGTGATCATGTTGAACTGTTTTTCCCTTAATTGGAAGTGTTCAGTTAGTAGAACCTCCAAAAATTTGAAATCGTATCTTTTGGAAGGTGGACTCTAGAAAATAGAAATAAATATGCTAGTAGTAGCGACTGCATCATGATACTTTATTTTTATGCTGTTTGAATTGTTTCTGCTTCCAGGTAAAGGATTATTAATCCTGACCATGTGATTTGTTACTTGAAACAATTTGTGAGCATATTCCAACAGAGTAGCATTTAATATCTTGTTTATATTGCAGCTGGAAACTCATGGCTCCAATCTGACAGAAGAGCAGCTTGAAACACATACTATATCTGCGTGGAAGGAGGCCAAGCGTCAAACTTATGCCAGAAACGAGGGTTCTTGGAGGGCAAATCACCATTTAGTTCATGTGAGTTGTCCACTGTGTTTGTGAACCAATTGCAAATCTGTATGCACTCACCACAAATTGAGACTGCTGCCATCAACTTCTATCTATATTTACTGGCCAAATTACACTCCAGTGAATTTTAGAATTCATGTATTGCATTCTAAGGATAATATTTTACCCTTTGATTTATTTGCATTTGACAAATTGTTGTCAACAATTGTTGTGTGAGTACCACATAACAGTTTTTGGCACACCATGACACACATTTTTGTCATAACATTTTTTGGCACACTATGACACATTTTACTTTTTGTGTTACAACTAAGTTATCTACTGGATGCTGAAATATATTTTGCTTAATTAGCTTTAATTGCCATGCTCAAGTGAGTTACTTAGTGAACTGCAATTTGTTTGGTGTGAAATTTCATCGAACCCCTTGCATCAACTGTTCCTTTTCATTTCCATCCTAGTATTTTATAACATGCTTAGTTTTATAATGATCATGTGTCTCATGCACTTATGCTGGAGTGAATCTATTGTTTAGGCCACCCCTTATGAATCCCTGAGGGAAATTGCTATGAAGATACTGCAAAACGGTGTTTCTACCGTTCCAATTATGTTTTCCTCATCACCAGATGGCTCATATCCACAATTGTTGCATCTTGCTTCCCTTTCTGGAATTTTGAAATGTAAGTGTTTCTATGTATTTGCATGAAAAGTGTGCTATACACAAACATATTACATGATAGCTTAACAACATTTCATTTTCAGGTATTTGTAGATATTTTAAAAATTCTCAAGGTAATTTACCTATTTTGAGCCAACCTGTATGCACAATTCCTCTGGGTACCTGGGTTCCAAAAATTGGTGATCCTAATGGCCGTCCATTGGCTATGTTGCGGCCTAACACATCTCTTAGCGCTGCCCTGAATTTGCTGGTTCAAGGTATGTTATCTGTCTGTTTTACCATAACCAATGCCTGGGAAAGTACTTGCATTTCTGTTTCTTGGTGCAATTACTGAAGTTTAATACTAATTCCACTGAGATCTCTTACAGCTTTCGATTATTTACGCTATCTTGTTGCCAAATTAATGTCTTATTACAATTACTCTGTACTCTAATTGTTTCATTCAGCTGGTGTGAGCTCAATACCAATTGTGGATGACAATGACTCACTGCTTGACACATATTCCAGAAGGTGCCCATTTGATACTCACCATTCTTTGTGTAGTCATATACTATTCTTTGGTCCATGTATTCATTGTGTTTTTTCCATTATGTAGTGACATCACAGCTCTTGCAAAAGACAAGGTGTACACACACATTCGCCTAGATGAGATGACCATTCATCAGGTATGCTAGTAAATATTTAATGCGTCTTGATTTAGTTTGTGTCTGGAATTTTAGCTGGGATACAGTTGTACAATAATTTTTGCAGAGTTTCTTTTGGTCTTGAAGACTGGTTAACTTAGAAAATAATAACTTTACTGATTTATGTATATGATAGGGAAATCTGTATCGATACCTGCATCACACATATATACTATGAGGACATGCCTTTGTGGTTCTGGCATTTATTAGCCCTGTGTCTTTTTGCACGCAGAGCATGGAGCATGCACACACATCTAAAACAAAGGCTGTAGGCTGTAGTTTGATGTGTTTTGTCCATTTATCACTCTTACTTTCCATACCGGTCAAACAAACATATACTATAATAGAATAAGTAGTGCAATGCTGTTTAAAGCAGGCTTTCTCGTGAATTTGTGTATATGTTATCCATCGAGCTGGTGTGATTTTTGGTGTGAACCTACTCATTTTTGTTGTTATGTTCAGGCTCTGCAGCTTGGACAGGATGCAAATTCGCCCTTTGGATTCTTTAACGGGCAAAGATGTCAGATGTGTCTCCGGTCTGACACTTTGTTGAAAGTGATGGAGCGATTAGCTAATCCTGGTAATTATCTGTGCCTAGATATGCTTCCTGAAAGCAACTTTTCGGGTTCAACTTACTAATATTTTTTTTTTGCATTTTATATTGTTGGTAGGGGTGCGCCGTGTTTTCATTGTGGAAGCTGGTAGCAAACGTGTGGAGGGCATAATATCACTGAGTGATATTTTCAAGTTCTTGCTGAGCTAAGTGAAAATGCCCGAGCCATCTGTGTTTTGTTCTCACAACTGCCGGAGTTAACAATAGCAGAAAAAAATTGTGAATCTCCAACATCGATCTCTCTGGCTTTTGGATCAGACAGGTGTCTTTTCCCGATAATGGCCAACCAGAGTCTGTAAAGTCTTTTTTTTTTCCCTTGCCCCTTCGTTACCAAAATGTCTGGTGATTTTTATTTATTGGATTGTTTTGCTGCTTGCTCGGTTTCTGAGCCCCCCAAGGAGTTAGTAGCTCTGTTGAAAGGGTGGGATGGGCGCTTAGAGACATATTTTAGCATGAATCATCATCACAGGGAAGTAAGAATTGAAGGAAAGAGGGGATGCTCTGAAGCAAGAAGGATGAATTCAATGTGTTGTTTTTGCTCAACAACCGTTTTTTTGGCGGGCAGTGTTGCAACCATGAAAGGAGAAATTACAGTCGGCTCCTTGCTTGTTAGACAAAAAAAAAAAAGAAAAAAAAGAAGAGAAAAACTATTGGATATCTGATGATGTAGTGACTGAGAAGCAGGAGTGGAGTTGTGTAAAACCTGTACCACCTGATTTTTATGTCTAAACCGCAGCTTACTCATTTTCCTTGTCTATGATTCTTGCTTGCTTGTGTAGTGAATAGTAGTTTTTCTTGTCTGGTATCTCTCTCTGGTAGCGGCGCCGACGTGCGGAGGCTGTTTGTACAAGTTGAGCCGCATGCAATGCATGTTGAGGAGCAACTGGAAATCGATTTGGAACTTCATTGATGCGTGCAGGTGAAGGTGAAGGTGAAGGTGCAGGTGCAGCGTGCGGTGCGTCCTTGGTCCCTGTCGAGTAACGGCGACGGGCTTGGCGTCGAGCGGAAAGATCTAGAGAGGGTGGGTTACGTCGACAGACACTGGATAAGATCAATCCACATCGCCACATTACTCCGCCCTTTTAGACGCTTGTCTGCTGCTGCTCATCAGTAGTTCATCAGTAGTAGTGGTAGGGGAGATAATTCGTCGTTCGTTTTGTGCATCCATCCAGAATTCGTTCCAGATCCAGCCAGCCAGCCATCTCAAGCTTCTCTCTTCTCTTGTTATTAAGAGCAAGCAAACAGTAGTCTAGCGAAGCGAGACTGCGAGAGCAGAGCATTGTTCTTCTTCTCTAGCTATTAGTGGTGGGGAATAATGGCTCCCGCCACCACCGCAGCAATGGCCCTCGCGCCGCCTCCTTCCCATCACCATCACCATCACCATGTCAAGCAGCTGCAGCTCCCTCCGTCTGTCTCCGTCTCCGTGCCCCTCCGCTCCGGTTTCCTTGGCCGCGCACTGCCTGCTGCTGCCCACCCACAGCCGCTGCTCGCCGCCGAGAGCCGCCGCAGCAGCGCCGTGTCCGTGCGGATGTCGTGGGACGGGCCCCTCTCCTCGGTCCGCCTCATTATGCAGGGCCGCAACGTCAAGGTTCTCCTCTCCTACTGCTACCACTAGTTTGCTTCCCTGGAATTTCCTTCGTTTCATATTATAAGGTTTTCTAGCATTACTCATATTCACATATATATATATATGATAATATTCTAGATTCATTATCATATATATGATTATAGGTAATGCTAGAAAATCTTATAACCTGAAACAGAGGGAGTATATATAATTCGGTAATGGAACTAGAGTATTTGTTTTATTAATTGGACCTTTATGAAATACTAGTAGAATTCAACGAAACTACATTCTTCTTTATTGGTTATATTAGTAGTAATTTGCTTCACTAGAATTCTATTTTATACTAGAGAGATTAAAAATTATTACAAAACTAACTGTATACCCGTTGCAACGGAATAGTAATATGGACCTATTACTTATTACTACCTCCATATTTTAATGTATGACGCCGTTCACTTTTTGTCCAACGTTTGACCATTCGTCTTATTAAAAAAAATTATGTATCTATTATTTATTTTATTATGACTTGATTCGTCATCAAATATTTTTTAAGCATGACATAAACATTTTCATATTTGCAAAAAAAAAAAACGAATGGTCAAATGTTAGTCGAAAAGTCAATGGTGTCATACATTAAAATACGGAGGGATTATATGGGATAGCTACAGTAGCAGAGTCATGATAAAGTAGTAATGTGTTGGGAGGAGCGGTAGAGCGTTGTGTGGAAAAATAAAGATGGGAATGGAATGGAATGAAAAGCGTACGTGCGTGGCGTGGCGGTGCAGCTGAATGAGAAGGTGAAGGAGCACATCGAGGAGAAGGCGGGGAGAGCAGTGGCGAAGCACAGCCAGCTTGTGAAGGAGGTGGACGTGCGCCTCTCCGCCCGCGGTGGCGAGCTCAGCCGAGGTCCCAAGATTTGCAGGTGCGAGATCACTCTCTTCACCAAGCGCCACGGCGTCATCCGCGCCGAGGAGGACGCCGAGTCCACCTACGCCAGCATCGACCTCGCCTCCTCCATCATCAAGAGGAAGCTCAGGAAGATCAAGGAGAAGGAGACCGACGTCCGCCACCTCAAGGGGACCAAGCCCCCCGTCTCCGACTGGCCGCCATCATTGCTCGACAACAACGACGACGACGCCCAGGCCCAGCTCAAGGATCTGGAGGAGGCCGTCGGCGCCGAGGACGAGGACACGGTGCTCACCAAGGTCTGCAGTCTGATGCATGATCAATGCATATAAATCAAATCATTCATGAACCAAATTAATGCAACTGTGAATGCAGGTGGTGCGCACCAAGGTGTTCGAGATGCCGCCGCTGTCGGTGGAGGAGGCGATGGAGCAGCTAGTGAATGTGGACCACAACTTCTACGCCTTCAGAGACGAGAAGACCGGGGAGATGAACGTCCTGTACAAGAGGAAGGAAGGAGGCTTCGGTCTCATCGTCCCCAAGGGAGACGGTCATCTCCACAAGGAGACCATCCCCAACTCTGACCACCACCACCCCTCCCTTGCTGCCTAGCCTCTACACCTCCTGCATCACCATCCTCATTTGCTAATTATTTCTATGCTTGCCCAAGAGTCTCTAAATATTACTAGTATTAATTAATCCAAGTGATGAGAGAGGTCTTTGATTTTGTCTCCGTGTACATCGATCGATCGACTCTTGACTACTCTGTTTAACCAACTGTTTTCGATATATTTATATTATTAATGATTTTTCCAAGGTTTTTACTCTGCTTTATTTCTGGAAGCTGCATGTATAGCTTGTGCTTTTGCTGTATTATTGCAAATTTTAAAAAATATATCCTACATCTTAGCCACTCGATCGAGAAACAACTGAGGAAGTCCATTTGTACCTGTTTTTGAAGATAGGAGAAACGTTATATTCAGTTTTTACTGTTGACAGAGTTGATTCGATCCAAATCGAAGAGGTGAGGAATGTACAATAGACTTATTCATGGGTGTGTAAGTTAATAAATAGGAATAAGTTCACCAGAGGTCCCTTAACTTAACCGCGAGATTTTTCGAGGTCCCTTAACCACAAAACCAGAAATGTGTACCTCTAAACTCACTGAAACCGTTCAAAGGAGGTCCCATAGCAGTATTTTTGCCCGGTTTTGGTGACGTGGCATTCTAGTCAGCAAAAGAAATTAAAAAAATTACATGGGACCCACATGTCATCAGCTGCACATTTTTTTCTTCTCTCTTCTTCTTTCTCTCTCCTCTCTTCACCGGCAGCGGGCGGCGATGGGTGAGCACGGGATGCGGGCGGCATGCGGAGAGCCAGCGGAGTGGGTGGCGAAGCTGGATCCGCATGTGCTGCTGGCGCCGCCGCCGCGGCAGATGAAACAACTAACCGACCATCGCTGCTTCCAGGGGCGGAGCTAGTATATATTAGGGGGGGTGCCCAGGAACCCGGTTAAGAAAATTTTTTAGCTATACCTTATCTATTTTTACCATGTATGCACCCCCCTCAATGTAAACTTAGGCACCCGCATAAGCTTAAACTCGATCTAAAGTAGAGTAAATTAAGCAAGTGGCACCACCCTCCATTTCGCTCTAGCTCTGCCCCTGGCTGCTCCGCCTGTCTGCTACGCCCGTCGACCGCTCGCCGCCGCGCTCGCCCGCCCCCACCCCCGCCGATGGGAGCGAGGCGGCCGGCCGCGCCGACGTGAGAGGGGCAGAGGCGACGGTGGCGGCGCTGACGGGTTCCTTCCCCTGTCGCTGGTCGCTGACCGGTCGGGGGACGACATTGACGCCGTGTTCAACCCCGAATGGCGCCGTACGATTCTACTGCTTGCTATATAGCTCAACGATTATAAAGCTTGAAGGATGAATTGAAGCTTCGCTTTTCTTGAGCTATATGGTGTTTCTTTGGGTTTTCTTCTTTGTAGGTAGGTGACCAGGCGCTGTACAATGGGTTCGGGGCCGCCGGAATGCATGGCGCTGCCGTCATGCAGCCGCCGACGTTCGGGCAGGTACGCGGCCAAGAACCAGTACTCCCGTGGGTTCAACTTCTTCCCCAATTCATTCTGCTTCTTTACCAGCGTTGGAAACAACTGCCTGCCTGCCGCCTCCGCGGCGCTCGTCCGCCGTCGCCGCGCTCGCCTACCCCCGCCGCTCATGCCTGCTTCGCTTGCCACCGCTGCGCTAGCCCGCCGTCGCCCCGCCCGTCTCGGCCCGTCGAAGAAGAGAGAAGAGAAGAAAATAAAGGAGAAAAGAGAAGAAAGGGGAAGAAAAAAGAGATGTGGGGCCACATCATTTTCTCTCACTGACATGTGGGCCCCCACATATTTATTTTATTATTTTTACTGACTAGAATGCCATGTCATTAAAACCAGCCATCTATACTGCCTTAGAACCCAAATTAGATGGTTTTGTATAGTTTAGGAGTGAAGATTTCTGGTTTTGTGGTTAAGAGACCTTAAAAAATCTCGCTGTTAAGTTGAGAGATCTCCGGTGAACTTATTTCTAATAAATATAGCCATTAGTGGGCCGCCTATACGAGGCTTATTTTAGGCTATAAACGGGCCGTCATTATGATCAACACGGTCCATCGCCACGCATGCTAAGCAGGCTGATTATGTGTCTTCTATACGTTATGTTACTGCACGCTCACTTTAAACTGTCAATCATCCATCATTATAGTTAGGCTTATCTCATATTCTCATGCAAAACAAGAATGTTCAACATCACCCACTGACAATGTACTCACAAAACACACGTACACGCGCACGCCCACACACACCAACACACGCAACGCACGCACGCACACACGCCCCCCCACCACACAACACACACGCACGCACGCACATAAAAACACACACACAGACAATTGCATGTTTCAAACATTACAATCAATCCGCAAACGTTTAGCTATTATTTTCTACAATGAAAGCAGCATTTAATTATCATGAAAGCAATAGTCAATTCATAAACACTTTATTCCAGCACTGGTAGGGTGTATAAAAATGGGACAATAGCTAAAGGTAAACAATGCACTATTATTCGTGCAATGCATCTACTCCCTCAGTTAAAAAATGAGAAGCTTTATCCTTCAATACCCTTTACCTACCATCACTCTTACTACTTTTATTAATGATTAAGGGCATTTTAGTCATTCTCACTCTCCACTATTTCCACCTTGGGATGCTAGGAATGGTTTTTTTGGACGGACGGAATATAAGGTTGGAACAGTGAGATGTGATATAGTAAAATGTTGGACTACGCACGTGCCTGGGATGCGCACAAACGCATTGAGACCAGCCCACGTGCACCCGACTCGACCCATGCTCTTTCTCTTCCGTTTCTAATCACAATCATCGACCGATCTCCATCCGAGTCCACGCAGGCATTTAGGGTCGAATACAAGAACCAAATCTATTAGAGGAGGGTGAATGGTAAAAACATTAAAAAAATAAATCCTTTTATGGAATTAAAAGAACCTCAAACCTAATAAAGTTGTGTCCGGTCAGACCGCGTTGTAGCTGTCGGTCAGACCGCTCTTGGTTAACAAATCTGCCGACATGCTCGCTGTCGCTAGTGTGATCGCCCATTTATCGTCGGTTAGACCGCTCGCATGATGCCGGTATGACCGTTGGGACCAAAAAATAACTTTATTGCATCAAAATGTGTTTATAAAGTGCATCCAAAACACTTAGCTCTCAACTCACGAACTAGAATTGAAGCCTCAAAGCAAACCCTGACTTTCCTTTCCAAAAAGTCAAGATACTTAAGCCACATCCCCTCTTCTATTTATACCAAAACATAGTTGTATTTTGCCACAAATCGAACTATAATTAGGAATCCTAATGACAAAGCAAACCCTTCAAATCAAGGAAACAACATCCCTATACAACTCCAAACTCAGATCTCCTCAAACTTGGACCACAATCCAAATTTGACTCATCTTTCCATACGCACGCAATCTCCCTTATATGCCATACGAAAATCTTTATCCTCACGTGCATTGTTCTCTAGCCTTAGTATCCCACAAAATCTCGTTAACCGTCTAGACCTCAACTTCTCCCAAGCTAGTTCAGATCCATCACTAGCGATACTATCTGAGGCCTTAAGCAATATATGCACATGAACAACAAGAGACCATATCCGAGCATAAGGTCGCACCAACTTAATTCACATCAGCACACAACAATATCATATACGTATAGAAACCATCTACAAATCATAAACATGAAACAATATAGAATATCCACTAAAATAACCCGAAATTGACTCAAACCATACATCACCCCGGTCTGACCGTTAGGCTGCCCGGTCATACCGCACAAACACCTCATGTCCGATAAGTGATCACTGCCGGTCTCATTTAGAGACGTATACCCTGTTCACGGTCAGAAAACACTTCACCGTGTTTTTCATAAACACTTACCTTTGACAATTATTCATCACAAATATTAAACCATCATGATTTCACATAGTAGTGAGCTCAGCCCCACGATGTACCTCATTCCGATGGATCTATCCCAACGACCAGATTTGCCCCCTCCCCCCCAACATTGGGCATACCCCGCCTTACCTAACTGGTCGATCGATCACTGGTGTTATTTTTTTAATAATAGAAATGGTTATTAGTGGCGCTGTTTCCTTACATGCATCTCCTCTCTCGTCTCTGATAGTTTACTCCACTAGATAGGCTGCCGCCACACTTGCCTACTAACCATTGTATCTTCCTTTCCTCCCACGGACCCTACACATGTGGTCGACCCTGCCCAATTTCCTTCTCTCTCCTCGTAGCTCCGGTACTCCGTCCATCACATACAAGTACATTGTAGCCTATCCATCTCCGCCACCCACACCTACAGTTGGCCAAAAGGCCCGTAGTCCGACGGTCCGGCCCACAACACGGAGTTTTGGTCCGGTCCAGGCACGACACGACTCGACTGTTGTCGGGCCTGTGCTAGCCTGACTCAACCGTTGGGTGTTGGCTGGGCCTCTTCCTTGGCACGACGTGCCAGCCCGACACGGCCAACACTCCCGCATGCCATAGCCCGTCGATGGCTGGCCCAAAGAGATGAGGGAGGCAAAATAGACTTATTTTAGCCATATAAGACACAATCCAAAGATATGAGGGAGACAAAATAGACTTATTTCAAGGATGAGCACAGTAAGCTAGTCATGCCTTCGGGCCGGCACGGCACGTCCTGAGTCTTATTGGGCCGTGCCTAGGCCATAGGTACAGCCCGTGGGTGGACAAGGCACGACACGGCGTATCAGTCGGGCCGTGCTTCGGTCGTGTCAGACCGAACCATGTCTGGTGATCTATTTGACTATAGTTAGCTCTAATTAAGCCTCAAAGTCTCGAACTTTCTTTCTTCACAGAATCACAATGCTCCCCTCTCTAACCCGCTATCTAGGTAGAATCCTAATATGTCCAAATCGGAATCGGGCGGTCGTCGAACGAACGCATAGGGGCCGGCTTGGCGCATTAGCCCATCTTTCTCATGAAATTGACCACAGAGGCAACACGTAGGCCAGCGCACGTACACAAGTTCCAAATTATGTCCCTGCCACCACTTAATACGCAGTGGATTATTATATACTCCCTCCGTTTCAAAATATTTTTTTTGTTTTCTGTACTTTATCCTTTTTTTTTACAGTTTTTGTCTCCTCTATTCAATGAAATTGACGGCCTCATTGATTCGTTCAAAAAAAATGTTTGACACCGTTGACTTTTTAGTACATGTTTGATCGTTTATCTTATTTAAAAA